TTCAAGGTTTAACATATTAGCAGTTTTGGATACAAATGAATAATTCGATTCACGAATTCGCAACGCAAGAGTTACATTCAGGATGTGTGCAACAGTTTTCATTTCCTGACTTCAACGTATAGCCATGCGGTGAAATTCGTCCCTTGTCAATCATTCTCCATTCCTCCATTGGCCGCACCCATACATACGTCCTCTTTTTCTACGGATTCTCTGCACAACAATAAAAGCCTAAGCCTTTATCAACTGCACATATTCTGTGTTCAGTTTTAAAATATTTCTGCTGACAGGAAGTTTAGCTGCAGAGCTCAAGTTAATTTCAAACAATCAGGCCTATCAGCTCCATCTTCTGCCAAAAAAGCTTAGTATGCAAAACATATCACACTCGAGTTTTTTAATATAAATCACCTTAAGTGATACAAATACAATTGTTTAATGAAAAGAAAAAGCGACAAAAATATGTTTAAAATTTTTTTTTTGTATTTCCTTTTTCCCAACAGCCCATTTCCACTGAGTGGTACGGTATGGTTTTATACGCTTTTATGGCTGTTTCCTTTGTACCAAAAAGATACCAAAAAGCGAAAGTCTACTTGGCACAGCTTTCCTAGTTAAACTAATGAACCTAATTAAGCCTTTAAATGTCACTTTAAGCTAAATATTAGTATCTTGAAAAATATTATTTACTGTCATCATGGCAATGATAAAATAAATTAGTTGTTAGAAATGAGTTATTAAAACATTTATGCTTAGAAATGTGTTGAACAAATATTTCCGTTAAACAGAAATTGAGGAATAAAATATACATATAATTCTGAATTCAACTGGATGTCAGTGGCTACCAGTTTCGAACATTCTTCAAATTATCTTCTTTTGTGTTCAACAGAAGAAAAAAACCTAAAGTTTTAGAAGCAACTTTTTATTTACAAGCAATTTTAATTTCAGGGTGAAGGATCCCTTAAATTTTTTTACTTTTTGCATCTGAATGTGATTTATTCATACTAATTCTCCAAGTGTAACATTTTTCAGTAGCATCAAGTTGTTTGTTGTGCAGAGACATGCTGTGGAGATTTTTCAAACGTTCATCTTTATGTCTTTTATGCAAATACAACAACAGCATACAGGTTTGAAACAACAAAAGTTGAAGGAATCATTACAGATTGTTTTAATTTCACCAGTACTTTTCCCCTCTACAGTTTCAGCTCTTTGGGCATGGCTTCACCTCTGAGTCCTGCCAGCAGGTTGTTGGCAGCGAGGGCTGACATGGCGTTTCGTGTGGTATAGGACGCACTGGCAATGTGAGGAAGAATCACTGCAAATACAAACATAACACACAGAATGTTTTAGCAGGAAACCAATCAAAGGTTTCAATCTAAGCCATGCGAGGCGTTCTTACCGCAGTTTTTGAGGGTGTAGAGCGGATGGTGTGTTGGCAGCGGTTCAGGAGTGGTGACGTCCAGCCCTGCGCCAGCAATCAGACCCGTCGACAGAGCTTCATACAGATCCTCCTGGTTCACCACGCCACCTCTTTACAACAACACCATTACAGGCAAGAGGTCAAGACTCTGTTTTATTTTTATTCTTTGAGAATCTGCTTCTGTGAATCTTTGTAGATATTATTTGTACATAACTGCTGTGATTGTGTTTATTTGGCAAGGCAAGGTAAGTTTATTTATATAGCACATTTCATACACAATCATAATTCTTTACATAAACAAGAATGAAAGAAACAAGTATAAGAAATAAACACAACAAAGAATAAAAATGATTAAAAACAGATTCAAATGTGTTAAAACAGGTTGTAAAGGAATGAAAGAGAAAATCTGTCGGATGTAGTACAGTGCTCATTCGGTAAAGGCACAGCTAAACAAATGTGTTTTAAGTCTTGACAAATGTTGGAGCTCATCTGATCATTTCTGGAAGCTGATTCCAGCAGCGGGGGTGTAGCTGAAGGCAGATTCACTCTGCTTTGACTGAACTCTGGGAATTTCTAATTTACTTGATCCTAATGATCTGAGTGATCTGCTAGGTTTGTATTCAGTTAGAATATCTGTAATGTACTGAGGTCCTATAGGCCATTTAGTGATTCATAGACAAGTAATAATACTTTTTTGTAATTTGAAGTGAACAGTTCTGTTGTTTATCAGAGGTTAAAGGGATAGTTTAACCAAAATTTGACAAGTTTTCACTACTTATTTACCCTGAAGTGATTTCAAAACTTTAGAAGTTTTGTTTTAAACTGTTAAACGGAAATTAAGGTATTCTGAAGATTGTTGTGAACCTGTAACCATTGACACCCAAGGTAGAGAAAAGAGATATTATGGAACTCAATGATTTCTGACATATATCTTTCTTTTCTGTTCAACACAGAAAGAAAGACAATCAGGTTTAGAACAAAGGGTAAGTAAATAATAATAATAATAATTATTATTATTATTATTATTTATGATTTATCCCTTTAATACTGGAGGGCAGGACATCATCTGTTAAGATTACTGACATTTCACAACACTCTCCAATGTGTATTTCATAATATTGCTGGAACACCAAAATCAATATGTTAGTAATGTTTTAGCACGGAATATTGGGTCTTGTTTATCATGGACTTGACATGAAAAATGAACTGTCTGCTAATCAGTTTCATTAATTTTCTGGATTAATTAGTGAAATTGCTATATTAAAACCTTGTGAAAAAGCTGCTAAAATAATGAAAATAAACAGAACTTCACGTAGTTAGCATTGACCAAAACTAGATTATTAAAAAAGTGTTCATTAATTAATATAACGCATTAATAGAATCTAATTAATGTATGGAAAATTTAACTTGAAAATAATAAAGAGCAAAGGAAAAGGTAAGAACTGAAATAAAATAGATTTGGGTCCATGTCTATTTTTGAAGTGCTTTTTACCATTCAGTTTAGTAAATGTCTGTTGAATTTCATTTCAAACTGAAGCACACAAAGTAAATATGTATGTAGATACAGTTTTTAAAAAACTATAAATAGACGAGAGGTCTCATTTCCACTCATTTGTATTATATTTGAAATGATTAAATACTCAGAAACTCAAAATTTAAAACAGGCCGCATTTTAATGTATAATTTTTTAAAAAGTCTTTTATTTTTTTAAGCACTTTTTAAATAATTAAATATATATATATATATATATATATATATATATAATTTGAATGCTTGAAAATCCATTTCTGTACTTTTAAGCAACACAAAAAATAATGTTGTATTACCTGCTCGTGTTGATGAAGATGGCATTTTTCTTCATCTTGGAGAAGAGATTCCAATTGCAGATGCCATGAGTCTCTGGAGTCAAAGCGCAACATATGGCCAGAAAGTCTGACTGCTTGGCCAGTTCATCTAAAGACACTGAACACACAAACATACACACACAGTTCATTCCTGTGCTACTTTGTGACGTAAACTCTCACTAGAGTTCTGAGGAGGTTGGATTGAACAGCATTGGAATCTCTCTAATGTCCCCAAGGGCCAAAAACAAAATTTTACACCTGCCAAAATATGTTGAAGCAGCAGGAAATATATGTACATACACAAAATAAAAGATGACCTGGAGCTTGAAACAGAACTGCTATATTGGGACAAATAATAAGGTTCTTCCTACCGTATTCTGCATTTATCATGTTTGCAAGCTCAGTTCTTGGCTCCACATCTGTATAGATGAACTTCTTCACCTTAAATGGCTTCAGACGCTCAGCAATAGCAACACCTATTCAGCAGAGACACACAAAAAACCAAAAAAGAATAGTATCCCGTACTTTCATATGACAATTACATTAATACTTGCAAACATTTTTTGAATTACAAGATTTTTAATAGTAAGTTTAAATATGCAATCATTTCATTAATAAAACTTTCTACATTTTGGAAATAGGCTAATTCTAGAAGTCACCTCATGTTAGGGACCATTCATAAATTGCGTATATTGGGAGCAACACACTTGCGTATTTCAGGCGCAAAACGTCATAACTTTTTAGAAAACCGCAAGCGCACCTGCGAGTGACATGACAAGAACTGACATAGAATATTCACATTTCGGCAGACTAATTACCTCACCCAAACACTGCAGTGCTTTTTAATTTTTCTCCATAAATAAAACTTGTATCAGAGCTGCAGCAACGTTTTGTCAGTTTGTTATCCACTGAGTGAACGGTCGCCTAACAACAACAGACGACATAGGAGCATGAGTGCTTTCCACACACTTTTTAGACATGATAGCTGTGTCTTATTTCAGAGACTGAATCCTCTGAAGGATGTGTTCGAAGTGCGCTGCGTCATCGCGACTAAGGCTGTCTCATTTCAAAAAAATTTCGAAGGCTCCTTAAAACGCAGCCTTCAAATGCGTCCTTTGTTTCCAGGTAATGAAGGACACAACCGGTAGATCCTTCCAGGCCTCGAAGGTCCCAGGATTCATTGCAGGCTGATAACGGCAAGACGCTTTTGAAAGAAAACTCCGGTTTAAATGTATGAATTAGGTTTATTAGGTTTTTTTTAAGTGGATATGAAAACACATGTTAAATAAACAAAAAGAGTATGACATGTCTCACAAAAGAGTGATTTTATATACAGTTTACACGTTTATGTGTACATGTACGGATCAAAGGAAAAAAAATATCCAGCTTTTTTAAACCTTGTTTTGCCTTTAGATCACTTACAGTAAGTTTATTACCGCTTATTAACAGCAGCAGTTACGGTTGCTTGGTGATGAGATTTGTCTTCTGTAGGTTAGATTGTCTCATTTTAAAATGCTCGGTTCGGCCTGTGTGGACTTCGAAGGACTCACCTTTGAAGTCTGCATCCTTCGAAGGATACAGCCTCTGAAATAAGACACAGCTGATATGTGAACAGCCCCTCAAACTGGTAAGTTTTACCATTTCTTTAAATCCATGAATTATGAATCCAATTTCCTGGTATCACTGCACTCTGGAGCACTTTTAGCTTAGCTTAGCATAATAAAGCATTAAATCGGATTAGACCATTAGCACAGGGGTGTACAAACTCGATCCTGAAGGGCCGGTGTCTTTGAGAGTTTAGCTCCAACTCTAATCAAACACACCTGAACCAGCTAATCAAGCTCTTACTAGATATACTAGAAACCTTCCTGGCAGGTGTGTTGAAGCAAGATGGAGCTAAGCTCTCTAGGACACCGGCCCTCCAGGATAGAATTTGGACACCTGACTTAACATCTCCCTCAAAAATAAAATAAATAGTTTTGATAATTTTACTATTTTCCTTCTGCTATTTACTAAGACTACAGTTCTAAGAATTATAGTTCAAGGAACTATACTCTCAATCCGGCATAGTAATCAAGGAACTTTGCTGCCATACCAACACTGCAGCAGACACAATGATATTACACAGCAGTGACAGCCACTGAAAATAGTACCCAGGTAATTTTGTAACAGCGCTGCATAACATCATTGCGTCTGCTGCAGTCAGAAATCGAGTTTGAGACCTGTGCTTTAAACGGTTAACCAACATCCTAAACTAATAATTGATTCAACTACGCAAATATGGTGATCATGTTTCTTACCAATCCTCCCAAGTCCCAAGATTCCAACCGTACTGTTTGCTAGTTCATGACCGCACAACCACATAGTTCTCCAAGTTCCCCAGCCACCACTAAACACAACAATAAAACTCAGTGCATGATTAACAAGCAAATGTATGCGAATATTAATAGTTGGTTTAAATACGTTTTAGCTTCATGCGTAGCTTCAATAAGTCTTCTGGATGTGGCGAGTAACAGAGCAACAGTCAGTTCAGCCACAGCATCGGTCAGGACTTCAGGTGTATATCCTACACGGATTCCTCTACAAAATATACAAGCCCATATCAACAAACTTCATGAAATTAAAAGATTACTTCACCTTAAAAAGAAAATGCAGTCATAGTTACTCACCCTCATATCATTCTATTTTAGATGAAATCCAGAAGCTCTCTGACCCTCCATATACTGTCCAAAACTATAAATAGTGGTTCAACTATAATCATATGAAGCTCCAAGAAACCCTTTTGTGCACTAAAAAAAACAGTAAAACTATTTTTGTTGACCTGTTTTCCATGTCAGGTCAGAGTTTTAATGGTAATACATTGTACTGGCCATAGCAAACGTGCACTCTGACCTGACGAGGAAGGGAAGATATATACTACCTGACAAAAGTTTTGTCCCCTATCCAAGTTTTAGGAACAACAAATAATATTATGACTACTAGTTTTTAGTTTTTTAATTTTGAGTATTTAATTAGGACAGTAAGGTCTGACTTTGCTTACACAAAAGTCTTGTCACTTAACAGAAATAATCCACAATATACACTATAAAGTCATGCTGCAGTGGAAAAAGAATTAATATCATGTATGAATCCCTTGAGCTTGGAGGACTGCATTCATATACATCTCTGCAATGACACAAATAACTTATTAATAAAGTCATCTGGAATGGCAAAAAAGTGTTCTTGCAGGACTCCTAGAGTTCATCAAGATTCTTTGGATTCATCTTCAATGCCTCCTCCTATACCCCATATATGCTCAATAATGTTCATGTCTTGTGAATGGGCTGGTCAATCCTGGAGTGCCTTGACCTTCGTTGCTTTCAGGAACTTTGATGTGGAGGCTGAAGTATGAGAAGGAGTGCTATCCTGCTGAAGAATTTGATCTCTCCTGTGGTTTGTAATGTAATGGGCAGCACAAATGTCTTGATATCTCAGGCTGTTGATGTTGCCATCCTCTATGCAGATCTCTCACACACCCCAAACCATGATTTTTCCTTCACCAAACTTCCAACATGGACTTCTGCAGTATTTGTGATGATTGGGATGCAGCTCAACAGATCATTTACTGGAAAAATCGACCTTCTGCCTCTTTTCTAAATGATCAACTAGAAGTGAAGGTAATATTTGTTGCTCTTACAGCTGGGATCAGCGACAAGACTTTTTTCAGGTAGTGTAGGTGAACAATGTTTTTTTTTTTTGCCACACAAAAACATTGTTGGAGCTTTGTATGATTACAGCTGAACTACTTAAGTCAAATGCAATTTGACAATGTTTTGGTTCCATTTCTGATCTTTGATCATCTCCAGACTGTTGTTGTATTTGGAGGATATTTCATCTAAAACAGGGGTCATCAAACTTGTTACTGGAGGTCCTGCTGATTTTAGCTCCAACCCTAAACAAACACACCTGAACCAGCTGATCAAGGTCTTACTATGTATACTTGAAACACCCAGACAGGTGTGTTGAGGCAAGATGGAGCTAAACACTGCAGGGTTCATCAGGGACCAGGATTGGTGACCCCTGATCTAAAATATCTTAATTTGTTGTTCCAATAATGAATAAAGGTCTCAGGATATTGGAACAACTTGAGAGTGAGTAAAGGGCAATCAACTGACCTTTTCTTAAGCTCTTCGAGAGAAAGGTGATCATAGCCCACTGACATGGTGCTGAGGACTTTCAGATTTGGACCTGGATTGTTAAGAAAATGCATTCAATACGTCAGTAAGTTTTCTCATTTTGGTGTCAGTCTTACAATCATGAAAGCTAACCTGCCACGTCCAGCAGCTGTGCATCAATCTTCTCTGTAAGTACACACAGAATCCCATCACAACCTTTGACCTTGTTCAGCAGCTCCACTCGGGGCACGGGGTCATCAGAGTCCCACAACTCAAACTGGACTCTGCCGTTGTGTGGGCAGAAATCGAGAGTTTATGAAGAATGAGAAAATATTGTCAAGTGAGAAGAGATCTGTTTTAAGGGGATGGTTCACCCAAAATTGAAACTTCTGTCATCGTTTACTCACCCTTCACTGGTCAACCTTGGTAACCATTGACTGCCATATTTGTTTTTCTTACTATGGTTGTCAATGGTTAACATTTTTCAGGTTTTGTCAATATATCTTCTTTACACTGTAAAAAATTATATGATTAATTAGTCCTGACAGCATATGTTTTTAGTTCATAGTAACTTACTTAAGTTAATCATGTTCTAATTTCATTTTAAACTGTTTTAAGTCAGTTTAACATAACAAATTCAATGGACTCAAATTCATAAAATCAATAATAATGTTAATTTGATTCAGCTTAAAAATATAAGGCAATTAGGATTTTTACAGTGCAGTGATCAACAGAATAAACTGATGTTTGGAACCACTTGAGGGTGAATAAAAGCTGAGGTAATTTTAGTTTTTGGGTGAAGTATCCTTTTAAACAGAGTGAAATGGCAGATTTGCAAATGACAGTTTATTTTAATGACCATAAAAATTCTAAAACTTTATCTTATTAAGTCTTCCTGGGTTCAAAATGAGTGGGTTGAAGGTTTTTAATTAACTTTCTCTTCCTCTGTTATCTTCAGCTGAGCAGATGTCCAGTTGCCACATGATAAACAAGTCTTTAGTAAATATGTACCTTATTAAAAGCTCGAAGGGCTAAACTTGACTGTTGTCATGTTGCATACATGTAACTATAAAAATCAAATTTAATTTATTTTTCAATTTTAGTAAATAGCAGTAGCACTGAAACAAAAAGGTCAGACTGGGGATTGAAGGTACTGTGATATTTGAGCCAAGACCCCCAAAAAGGTAATCAAATACATTAGTATTGCTTTAGTGATATTTCAGCAGGCCTTTGCTGAATAATGGGCCAAGTCTGTACTCAAAGTGACTATTAAAACAAGCAGATTTATTTTAGTTAAAGCAGTTAGTCTGTATGACCAAATTCATTAGGGAAAATTTCAGTGATCAAGAGTAGCCCTACTGGCTACTGGAGTGAATTTCATATAGTACAGAATCACTTTTCGCCATTGTCTTGATGCTTTAACGTGAAATAAGCATTTCTTTTTTATTTAACGTATAAACGTCATATCCTTTTGATTTTCCCAGCAAAACGACCAGACCACATTGCAAAAAGTCAGTCTACAGGCTTTTTATAGAGACCTTATGGCCTAGAATCAAAGGGTCTGATTTTGTAAAACAAATTACCCACACTGACATTGGCAATAAAAAAAATACATAGCCTGCATAATAAACAGTTAATTTAATTTAGAGGCTAATAAAATTCTTAAACACAGTCATATCTTAAGTTGAATAAATGGTACAGTCTGATGTACCAAACCAAATGAGCCTTACTGTAAAGTGTTGTCAATTTAATAATAAAGCAACAATTAATCATTTCTTCACATTGTCTGCTTATTTATGAGAAGCCAAATTGTATCGCTTATAAACATTGGAATCAGGAAAAATAATGCATTTCAAACACACACACACACACACACACACACACCCACACACAAACAAACAAACAAACAAACAAACACAACGCACAAATGTTTTTTTTAAGTTGCTGAGTGCTTCAACCTACTGTCCGGATTTTCGCAGAATGTCCAGTCCATCTGGTGGAATCCTGCGGGTCACATACACTTTCGGTAACGCGGACATCGCGCGGTGATGTCCGGTCACGGTACAGGGGGCGATTCTCTGTAGTCTCCCGAGCGCTGTTCTGCTGCACCACATTACTAACAACTGGATCAGTCAGGGAGTCTGAGCTGAGGAGGACAGACGCGGCAGGTGCTGTGTGTGTGCGTCTTTGTGCTCAGTTTCGAGGGAGGAGACGAATGGGTGGTCTTTGTCCAGTCCACGAGCCAAGAGAGCAAATATGTAAGATTAATATATTTTGTTTATTTGTTTTAACATTCCAAAGTACCACAACTAATCACAAAAGGCATGGATGTGTCTCGATTTCTGATAGGCTATTGGCATTGATTTTGTTTCAATCATTAATCAGGGGCTCAAGATGTGTAAACAAGCTGTATGAAAAACAATGAATATTGAAATAGGCCAACACTTTACACTATCATATAAAAACAACATATGGAAAAAAGATTTAGACAACAGGCATTACTATTTGTGCGTGTCAATGTGTGTGTGTGTGTGTGTGTGTGTGTGTGAGAGAGAAAAAGTTTTCTGGTCAATGTTTGAAAGCTCTCTTTGTCAACACACTTTTTTGTACTTTTGACTGAACCACACAGTCTTGTGCTGTAACCTAATGCAGATTAGAGAGACACTCTGAAAATCTATTTATTTTTATTGCAGCATTTTGGAGAAGAAAACCATTAAACTATAATCATACCAAATTAATTGATAAGACAAACATAAGTGAGTTATAGATTTAAGACTTTGGAATATAATTTGCAGTTTTTGTGATGCTTGTTTATATGTGAATAGATTTTGCATATACTTTGCATCTATTTGCTAAAATCTTTTAAGTTATTTATTTCCTCATTAATGTACACCCCAAATTGACAAAAAACACAGAATTGTTGAAACTTTTGCAGATTTATTAAAAAGAAAAATTGAAATAGCACATGGTCCTTAGTATTCAGACTCTTTGAATATATTTAAAGCACCCTTTTGATCTAATACAGACAGGATTCTTGTATTTTTATTTTTTTTTTTAGGAAAAATGAACTTAAATGATTTTGGCAAATAGCTGCAATATAACAAAGAGTGAAGAAATTAAGGGGGTCTAAATACTATCTGCACTGTAAAAAGTTCTATAATGACTTATTCATGACTGCATAAGTTTTTAGTTCATATTTAGCATGTTCTAACTTAATCTTAAAAATTATGCAAGCTGTTTTAGGTCACTTTAACATAATATAAGTTCAATGAACTCAAAAGGTTGATTTGATCCAGCGTAAAAATTTAAGACAAACAAGTTTTTTTATAGTGTGTACCCCTATATACTGTATATACACCATTTATTAAATTCCATACAGTGTATTTTGATACAGCAATGTGCAAGTAGCTCTTTTTCTTCCTTTACCTGATGGTATGATGTAGCATTTGTGCCATAGAAAATAAAATAAATAAAAATAAAATGAAACTCAGCGGTGGAAAGAGTACAGAAAAATCATACTCAAGCAAAAGTGTCCATTGTAAATCGTACTCAAAATATGTGTAAAAGTAGCCCTTTTAAAAGTATTTAAGAGTAGTGAGTATTACGCTGTAAAAAGCTGATGCATTTGCATGTAATTTGTGCATGTGTGTAAACTAGGGCTGCAACATTACAGTTAGCCCATGGTTCAATTCATACCTCGTTTTTTTTATATGGTTTTCGGTTCGGTCCTCATGGCTTGACACGTATGTGTTTCTTTATTCTATGAGAAAAAAATAAAAACGATTTATTGCAATACAATTATTTTGTTTTATCTAAAAGCCAAGCAAAGTACACAAGTTCCTAGTGTATTGTATAAAAAAATTAACACTGAAATCTCACAGCTGCTGGTAGCCCATGTACAAACTGGGGAACACATAAAATCCTACATTTTGAAAAAAAAACATACATGTAAAGTTAATAAAGATAAACTGGCCATTTCAATTAAACATATTTGTACTAAAGCAAACAAAAATAAACCAACTTAATTATCTCTGTGCTGAAAAAATGCGAGACTGTAGTCTGTAACGCGGATCGAGTGCTTTTATAAAATTAAAAAAGCCTGCATCTCCAATCACCGAAAACAGCTGCAAATCTTTAGCAGTAAACACCCGTACTGCCTTTGTTATTTTTATGTGTCTGTCGGAACCTTCTCTGCTATCCTGACTTTAGACAGTGATATTGCTGGGTGATGGCGCTGCAGATGTGTAGTCATGGTTATAAGTGTAAAACACTGCTTGCACACAGTTATTTTTTGTTGACCGTTTTTTTCTTTTATTGGCATTATGCTTACCGGCAAAACCGAAATGTCCTCACACTGCAGATTTGAAAGTTGCCAGTGCTTTCTCGTACTGTTGCCTCACTTCGCGGGCGCTTCCTTGTACTGTTGCCTCAGCCTCACTTTAGATTTGTGTGATTGGATATTTACTCGCAGGGAGGAGTTTCCTCATCTCAGCTCATGGATTTAGAAGCACACACTGTCAATTCAGGGAGATATAAAACGCACATCAATTATTTAAACGCAAAACCGAGAAAACCGCAATGCACAAGCGCGTATTGAACCGGGGAGGTTGTACCATACGGTTTAATATTATATTGAGAACCGTGGCATCCCAGTGCAAACGTAAAATTCTGTAGTGCATTTAGTTATTGCTCAGAAGGCACACAACATCATAAGACGTTAGTATTAGGTTAGATTTAGGTTGTGATGTGAGTTAACAAAAATTCAATGTCTAGCCAGCATCTAAGGATGATCTTATTTTGATGTCCACGATGTAAAATGACGTTGATATTTGGTTGATTTTAGATTGTGTTGGAAAGTGACCAAAATCCAATATCAAGCTAACTTAAACCAATGTCATATTGACGTCAAATACTCATAGTCTTAGTTGTAATGTCCACACAACAACACCAAGCTGTAACATCATTAGACATTGATATTTGGTTGATTTTAGGTTGGATCTTGGACATTGCCGTCGCCCTGATGTTGATTTCTGACGTCAATCCGATTTTTATTTCCAAACAAAATGCAATGTCCCCACGACATTGGAGTAAAATTGTCAATGTTGACGTCTTGCGTCTACTGGTTGTTTAAGGCCATTTCAGTCATCATACAGTAAACATCCGTCTTCTTATCATCAACTTCTTGGACACTTTTAATGCTTCCAATCAGTTTGCTGCAATTATGAATCGCCCATGTCTTGAGGTAGTTCATTATAAATGCGATTTACCTTCTATGTGTGATTTTATTAGACAGGAAACACAGGACTGATTTTTCTAATCCCAATTGACAGGATTAAATAAAGTAGCCAGGTAGCAAAGAATTCTGGCCCAGATTTGGCATAAATCTGGCACAGCAAGCATTCATCCGGCATTGGCATACAGTTTGTGGGCCAAACATGGACCTGGTTTGGCAGAGGTGGCACCGTCCTTAAGGCAGCACACAATACTTGGGCCAGATGTAAAGTGTAGTATTTGGATCATATGTTAATAATTGATTTATTAACATATAGCTTTATGCCACATCTGGGCCAGAATTCTACCTTGGCACTGATGATACACTGATGATACAGTCTGCACAATTATTGCAAGCAGCTTAATCAGCTGTGGTAAAACATCTACAAGTAGATGTTTTTTACCAAGTTAATGACAACAGTTAGAACGGTGGTTTCCTCACAGGTTGCTAGTTTGTGTCCCGACTGGACCATCAGGCCATTATTTTTATATTTTGTGTACATTCATTTTTTTTTGCAAATCCTAGTAAAAATTAGCTCATTATTTTGGTCCTAGTACACATATTTTTTTATTTTAATTTTAAAATCTTTGCAAAACCTCATTCTCATTCAATGTAACCCATTCCACTAGATGGCGGTAGAGAGTTTCCTATCACGAAACGGCTTCGCACACGCGCAGTAGAAGAAGTGTGCAGCTCCCGATCCTCGCGCACATTGACAGGTAGCTAATTCACTGCTCTCTTTCTGCACTTCAGACATTACTTTATACCTCGACTGGCTGAAAACAAGCCATCGCCGCCGTAAAGACACAATATGCAGAGTCGTGCCCGCAGATTTTGTTGATGTGCTTATAGTTAAACAGCTAGACTAATTCACTGAAGAGTTCAGCTAGCCGGTGTGCTAATGATATATAGATATGAGTAAGCATTAAGCGGTATGAGAAATGGATCAATCAGTGACGTGTTCTTCGTTTAGACACGAGATGTATTTTTTCCCCGATTTTGTGTATTATGTATGCATTTAGAGCTGTTCAGATGCTGTCGCTTTTATGTGAATGTTTTTATGAGCATGTTATATGTGTGTGTTTGTTTCTGCTCAAACTAATAGTTTTTAAATTATTATGCTTGCGCTATTAATTGGGAATATGTATGCCATTCAAAACTATGATATGTGAGCCATATGTGTTATTAAAATTTACATTGCGCTGCAGACAGAATTAACTGTCAAGTCATTCAAGGCTTCAGAGCTCATAGAAAACTAGGACATGTCAGGGATATTTCATTGTGTGGTTCAAGCTTGAAAAATGTATATAGAGAAAACAACACAATCTTAAAAGTCTATGTTTATGTTGTGATTATGTTTTATTTAGATTAAAAACGCATCCACAGAGATTTGTTGATTGATTCTGTATGAATCAATCAAACCTGACAGTCCTGAACTGCTCGTGTATGATTTTACATTTGTGCCAAAATGAAACTGCTCTGTGCTTTTGACTAAACATTTTCCAAACTGCAGTAAACATTGAAACCGGTTATCGTTCCATGCCTACTACTCACAGTAGTCTTGTTTTGACATTTATGGAGGTCTTCCTGCATATGCCGGGGTTAACGCTAAGGACATTTTGGACCAGTGGTTCAGATTTTTACTTGCTCTGCCAAAATTTCCACAGGCCCCGCACCAAAAAACAAACAAACAAAAAACTAAATAAATTATTACTTAACATATAACATATTTTAAATAATGTGTCAAAAATAATGTCTGTGAATCTAGAATTAAATATTTAATTTTAGAAAAATATTTAGCAGTAAAATATAACAGTATGGAGATGTGCAGGTATTTTATTGCAAAACTAAAGGTAGCTGACTTAAAACTGTTGGCAAACTATGCAAAACATCACTTAATTTTTTTCATGGTGTTTGCACAATGTTAGAAACAGATGTTTTATTTTTAGCCTCATAATTTGATGTGGCCGTCATGTTGTCGTCTCTTCACTGTACTGGTTTTTACCAGGTTATGGAAAAAAATAATGTGCTCACAACATCCAATCAGATAAGAGGAACTGAAAAGCAATATGGTGTTTATGACTTCACAGTAAAGATAGCATTCAAAGACATAAAAGCACAAATTGTTTCGCGATTCTAAGACTGTATTTGCATGCAATTGACAAATAGTTGCAGTCAAATTAAAATATAGTGACAAGGCAGCACTGGTCCGATCTGGCCAATAACCATTCTGTCTACTGTCCCGAGCATCTCTCACGCTTTCTCGGGCCATCAGGCAGTTCTTATTGTTGAGCCCTGATATGCAAAAATAGAAATCTGAAAAAAAAAAAAAGATCTGAGTTGTGTCATGTTTGAGCATACGTTGATCTTTTAGATTTTTAAGTTCTTTCTCAGACAGTGGTACATATGACTTTTATGTCAACATTTCTTTCACACATTCAGTGTGTAATGTGGACGCTAACAAGCTAATTTCTGGACTCAATCTTTAAAAATTATAAAAAAAAACACTGCTGTAAGAATTACTGTGAAGTTGACAGACAATACGACACTAATAATGACTTTAAAAGATGACCGGAAGTGTGCTAGACTGTAGTCAGGATGACTGTACAAGTGTCAAATTTCAGGACGATAATAAGATTGACCAAAATATAACACTACAAGATGACAGTAAAGAGTTACAGTAAGAATGACAGAACAAGACGTTAGTTGGGGCCAACAGTACTCGACTATTATAAGGTTAAAAGTAAGAAGCAAAGCTCATATGGTCATGAAAAACCTGGAAAAGTCATGAAATTTTGACATGGCATTTTCCAGGCCTGGAAAAGTTCTGGAAAACCTGAAAACCCACAAGGTTTTGGAAAAGTCATGGAAATTAGTTTACCAAATATCTGTGTACTTAATTATGGGTTAGTTGTCTTTACTTCTTTTCTGTCCATGGCCAAACACATCCTCTCACATTATTAGTGCTGTGTGAGCATTATCTAAATAAATAAATAGATCTGAAGATTCTTTGAAACTAAATAGATTGTCGCATGTTTTATGATATACTGTATTGAAGGTGCATTGTGTTTCTTAATATTTACCAGGTGTACATACTGTAGACATTACATGAAAATTAGGTCATGAAAATTTACTCGAAAGTTCTGGAAAAGTCTGTATGATCCCTGAAGAAGGACTGAAAAAGATATTGGAAAAAAATGATTGCGTTGTTTTATTTGACTGCGATATATGTTGCAATAATTTCACCAGATGATTTGTATAGCTTAGTTTGGAAAGAATTCAAAAGTTTATATTGATTGGGATGATTTTGTAGGACAAGTAATCTGCATAAATTAAACATATTGCGTTTGCTGGGTTTCTGGACTGTTTTCAGGTACAGAAATTAAATAATGAAATATAAAAACATGACACTTCATCGTCTTTATTGTATAGAAAATAAACAATATTTGTTAAAATCTTAGAATTTCTTAAATGGTTTAAATACACTTAAAATCTCACAGTCATAAACCTTAAAAACAAAGAAAATGAAAAAAAAAAAACATCCTTTTAAGGGTAAACTTCACTATGTGGTTCCTGGTTAACTATATTCCTACTTAAATTTCTTAATGGATGAATAAGCTATGACTAGGCCCACACGAAATCTGCGCGCGCAGAATTCCACAGATTTTTAGCCCACCCTTGATTCTTTATATTTACTTGTGTAAATTTATTTAGTTTTTAAATTATTTACAGTAATATTGACTAATATGAAAATATTGATTTTATATTTTTACAAAACAGTTTGTAAAATAATATTTTCTGTCTTTTAGTAGATATAGTATATGAGAGACTTGCTTTGTTTACCAATTAAAGTGGATCTAATTGGATTTGCATTGTAAACATTAAATAAAAGTTTTACATTAAATAAAAGGTATTACTTTTTATTTCATAGTTTAATAAAATAGAATAATTCTGCATAAATCTTAAAAGCATAAATTTTGTGCAGAAATAGCAAAAAATGTCCACAGATTCCGTCTGGCCCCAGCTGTGACTAATCTTAAACTGAACTTTCATTGCAGATTGTGCGATGTATCTGTTGTGGATTTGCACATTGCAATATCGATGCTGAATTATTATTATATTATATATAATATATATTATAATATATTATATATAATTATTATATTGTGCAGCCCTAGTATGAATGACTGTAAAGGCTTGACTGTAGACATCAGTAGAAAAGGACAGTAAAATGTTACCTGAAGAACAGCTGACAAAGATGAAAAGCACAGTTGAAGATGATTGTAAGAACAGCAGTCAGAATGACAATAACGGATGAAAAAAGATCACAATACAAAATGACAGTAAAGAGTTACAGAAAAGGCTGATTAATACTTATGCGTCTAATGTTCACCTTGGTGCATATTTTAGAAGTAGCTCACGCAGATGTGTATATGCTTGAACAATGTATCGTTTGAGCATCGATATCGTGATGTGTGTAATGTGCAATAGTAACATCACAGTATTACATTATTTATTAAAGATTAAAAGATAGGGAGCACAATGGCGCAGTGAGTAGTGCTTTCACCTCACAGCAAGAAAGTCGCTGGTTTAAGCCTCGGCTGGGTCAGTTGGCATGTCTGTGTGGAGTTTGCATGTTCGCATGGATTTCCTCCGGTTTCCCCAACAAGTCCAAAGATATGCAGTACAGGTGAATTGGGTAAGCTAAATTGTCTGTAGTGTATGTGTGTGAATGGAAGTGTATGGGTGTATCCCAGTGATGGGTTGCAGCTGGAAGGGCATCTGCTGCGTAAAACATATACTGGATAAGTTGGCGGTTCATTCTGCTGTGGCAACCCCAGATTAATAAAGGGGCTAAGCCGAAAAGAAAATGAATGAATAAATAAATAAAGATATTATTAAAATAAAGATGGTATTTTATGTTTGATTGTTCAATTTTTGTAATTGAATAAAGTTGCAGTACATTCCTCAGAAAACCATAAAGCACTGTTTAGATCAACTTGGTCATCCCAGTTGATCTAAATTAAAGAAATTTTTCCAAATAGAGCTATTTAAATCACCTATGGCCTCATGTACGAAGACTTGCATTAAATTAATACTGAAACATTGCTTACGGACAAAGCTGTAAATGTGCGTACACAGTAAAAATGCAGATGTATGAAACACTGCGGACATGGAATCCCACGCATATTCTCTTTGTACATCCAAATTAACGTGAAACTGAGCGCATGTGCACGAGCGCAAAACCCCCTCTCGCCTCCTCCTTCGTATGAATATGGTAATCACTCCACTTTGGCAAAACCAAACGAAAAAGCAATGGCAAAGGCAAGCAAAAAGAGAAACTTCACAGAATGTGAATTGGAGGTGCTTCTATCGGAGGTAGACAAGAGAAAAATGGTGTTATTTGCAAATGTGTCCTCCGGAATTAATAACAAAACAAAACAAATTGAGTGGGAGAGTTTAGCTGATTCAGTTTACGCAGTGGGGTCTGAACATCGCACTGTGAGTAAATTAAAAAAAGAAATGGTCCGATGTAAAGGTGCAGCTTAAGAGGAGAACCGTGGCGCATATATAGTGTCAGTTAACCCATTTGATCAATTATAAATTAATAGCAATGTTTTTCAAATGTGTTGTTGCGATACTTTGTAGTGTGCAATTTAACATTAAGCCTCTAGGTGTGGCAAATGGAAATAAAACAAACACACACAATAATTACACATACCCCAGACATGAAGTTGGTGTGGACCAACGCACATTCTCATGTTAATTTCTTCATTAGGAAATCCAAACGTGTGCGTGAAACCTGCCATACGCAAAGTTTTGGTGTGTATGTAGCGTTGACACATAAGGCCCCCGGTGAGGTTATACTGATATCGCAATATATATCACAACAAACCAAAATATCACAATTTAAAATTTTGAGCAAAAATTTTGAGCATTTCTTTTACTTCTGCATTATGTCCTTGCTGCTTTGAGAGTAACGTTTCTGAATTGCTAGTAGTCAGTGGGGTTTTGAGTTTACATTTACGTTTCTTATGCAGTGCTACTGTAAAAGTAGCTCAAACTCACATTCATTAAAGAATGAAAGTGGCAGGAACTGGCAAAGGTGCAACAACTAATCATAAAGCAACTCAAAATAAAAGTATCCATTTGTGGCTCCTTTGTGGAACTCAACACTTGTTAAAACTCAACCACAAGCCTAGCACTGCTCCCAGCCTACTGGGGGAGAAGAACAAAACTGAAAACCACCCAGCTATACAGAGTACAGACAGCCTATAACACGCTGTCTTTATAAACACACACAAACAAGCACAAGCAAGTGACACACACACACAGACAGCGTCTCGATCTCTCTTTCATTTACACACACAGACACACACACACACACACACACACACAGAGAGAGCTCTCTCATTCGCACACACACATAGACAGCAACAAACAAGCTAAACGCAGCATCATGCTGTCTCTTTCACATATATACATGCGTGTGCTCGCTTGCTCAGGAGTGGGGAGCCAGGAGTGATATTGTTGAACCGCCCGCTCCCATCCAAAATTAAACCTGTTACCGACCGCTCCCGCAATTTATTCTGAAATTTATTCCCGCGCCGCAGAAATGTGGTCGGGTTCCGCAGCTCCCGCATGCAGACCTCTAGTTTGAACGACCGAACAAGATACGTGTGAGGACAATAGTAAGAATGACTGCAAAAATAACAGTCAAGGAAGATGTACAAGATTACAGTTATAAATGGAATGAGACCACATTAATAGAACAAACACATCAAAATACACTCATTTATATAAACAAGTAGGTAATGACATGAAGCAGTCGATTCATTTTTGGCACAAATCAACCCTCATAGTCAGTGAGCAGGTCAGGTTGATGCAGGCCTATTGTAGATTGTATCAGTCAAAAGAGTCTTGCGCACTGTACAGATGTTTCTCTCTCACACAGGATCTTAAAGAGGAACATCTGGACACCCCCTCTCCCCTTCCCACTATGGCCGACTCCATGGATATAGATGACTCTCTGTACAGGTGCACGTTTAAGACAGAACTGAGACAGGCTTAGCTTTTTGTTATGTACAGAATTCGATTCATTAAATTTGTGTGTGTGTGTGTGTGTGTGTGTGTGTGTGTGTGTGTGTGTGTGTTTAGTCGGCAGCGGTATGTGCTGGGGGACAGTGCTATGCACCAGATGGCCCAGTCCACAGTGTTTGTCAGTGGAATGGGAGCACTTGGAGTGGAAATAGGTGAGTGGTGCCAATTTGTCACTCCAGTCCATTTTTTAAATATTCATATTTGTAATATATTGTTTTCCTATTTACATGTTTTTTACAATATTTGGAAATTTTAAATGGCTATAATTTGCATGGTGGTTTAGTGCGTGTATATTTTCTACAGTATCTTGATCTGAGATGTTCATGAATTCTCTATGCCAGTGGTTCTCAAACTGGGGTACATGTACCACAAGTGGTACACAGGCTTCCTCCTAGTGATACGCAGAGAAATCTCTGAAAAATTCAAGTAAAAAAAAATGAACACACATTTAACCCTTTGATGCATACGATAACAACGATGTGATCAGGAAATTGATTTTAATAGGCTAAACTTTTTATTTTATTTTCATTTTTCTAACATTTGTTATGTATTCTATCATTTGAGGTTATTTTCCTCCCCATACTTGTAACGGTTGTTGGGGGCGTATCTCGTAGTTTTATATCCCAATGTTGACAGGTATAGTTTAATCACTTACTTCTCTGACACACATAGCCTACTCTAACGAGCAGTAAGCAGATCTAATTTCTAATCTAATTTCTAATTTAAATATGTAAATCCAATTTCTGGAAGTTAACTTTTAAATTAACGTTTACGTTAACGTTTAAATTTCAAAAATATACAAATAAGTCATATATACATGCAACATATATTTCAAAATGTATCAGACAGAGTTATGTATGAATATTATGACATACGGTATAACCTATATTTATGAGGTCCAAGAAACATTTGCAGGTTTTGATGAAAATTCTACTTTATGATAATACTTTACATTTGAGTACAGCAGTTTTCTTTTACTTTTTAAGAACAGTGCCATTTTAATTAACTTTTAAAATCACATTTTAATTTAAACATTGACATTTTATTTATCTTTTTCTTTTTACCTGTGTGTTATTATTAAAATTATTTATTTTGTTTAAAGTGACTGATAATAATAAATATTCATAATAATAAAAAATAATCTGCCTCGTTTGTGAACTGTCCAGAGCTGTTGCCACTTCATTAGGCCTACTTTGTATTTCAATACGAGTCATTATGGTGGTACTTGGAGAGACAATTTTTTCTGAGGTGGTTCTTGGTGAAAAAAGTTTGAGAAACACTGCTCTATGCTGTATGAATATTTAATCCAACAAGCTCCTCGCTTCCTTCTCTTTTGAGATGTAAATTTCACAAAATTTTTTGTCACTTTTGTCTAATTAATATTCTTTTATTTTGTACAGCAAAAAACATTGTTCTGGCAGGAGTGAAGGTAAGATCAATTTGACTTTATGTGTATTTTTTTCTATACAAGTCAAAGATGAGATGTCACATTTTGGTATCTTTGTCCAATTAAATTTTACACAAGTTAGATATATTTTTCACAAAACAATCAATTATTCTAAAAAATGTTGTAAAAAATATTCATATATAGTTAAAGTCAGAATCATTAGCCCCCCTGAATTATTAGCTCTCCTGTTTATTTTCACAGCAGAATGAACCACCAACTTATCAAGCAAATGTTTTACGTAGTGGATGCCCTTCCAGCAGCAACCCAGTACTGGGAAACACCCATACACACTCATTCACACACATACACTACGGCCAGTTTAGTTCATTCATTTCACCTATAGCACGTGTCGTGGGACTATGGGGAAACCGGAGCACCCGAAGGAAACCCACGCCAACACGGGGAGAACATGCAAGCTCCACAGAGAAATGCAGGACTAGAATCAGCGGCCTTCTTGCTGTGAGGCGACTGTGCTAACCACTGAGCCACGGTGTCCCCCCAAAATATACTATGAACTGTGATATTATTATACTATAAAATAGAGCATATATGCGATATGAAGTAACTATTTTTTTAATGTTATTAGTTCATGTGATGACAAAGCTGTTAATAATGTTCAGCATCATTTCTTCAGTCTTCAGTGTCACATGATCCACCAGAAGTCGTTTCGTTATGGCCATTTGATGCTCAAGAAACATTTCTTATAGTTTTTCAAAATCAGTGTTATATGATCAATCATTGCTAAATAAAAGTACAATTTATTTCCACAATAAATCTCACACACCTCAATCCTTTAGCTCCATTAGCATATACAGATTTTTCTTTTGTCCTCAAATTGTTTTTTTTCTTTTATACATATGTAGCATATTTTTTGCTGATATAGGTGACTTGGAGCATTTGTTGAAGAGTTAGTTTTCAGTTGTTTTCTGACAGTATTGTGAGATTTTGCATGTGTGTGCTTGCAGGCAGTCACTCTTCATGACAGTAAGCGATGTGAAGTTTGGGATCTGGGCACCAACTTCTTCATCAGAGAGGAGGATGTGAATAATCAGAAGAAAAGGTGCACTTTTAAAAAATTTGTTACAAGACAAGAATGGGGTATATGCACAGCAGTGTTTTTCAGCCAGTGATAAACTTCCGGTGAAAGGTTAATGTGACTATTTCAAACTTTTTAAGGTTCTTTTTACAGCATCGACATTCATTCATTCATTTTCTTGTCAGCTTAGTCCCTTTATTAATCCGGGGTCGCCACAGCGGAATGAACCGCCAACTTATCCATAATTTAATGTAATGTGTATTTATATAGCGCATTTATTGTGTATGGCCATACACCCAAAGCGCTTTACAATCATGAGGGGGGGTCTCTCCACAGCACCACCAGAGTTCAGCATCCACTTGGATGATGGGACGGCAGCCACAGGACAACGGCGCCAGTGCGCTCACCACACACCAGCCATTGGTGGAGTGGAGAGACAGTGATCAAGCCAATTCGGTGGAAGGGGATGATTGGGAGGCTATGATCGTTAGGGCCGATAGAGGGACTTTGGCCAGGACACCCCTGCTCTTCCACGAGAAGTGCCATGGGATTTTTAATGACCACTGAGAGCCAGGACCTTGGTTTAACGTCTCATCCGAAAGACGGCGCCCACTGACAGTGTAGTGTCCCCTTCACTTTTACTGGGGCATTAGGACTCACACAGACCACAGGTTGAGCGCCCCCTGCTGGCCTTACTAACACCACTTCCAACAGCAACCTAGTGTTCCCTAGTGGTCTCCCATCCAGGTCCAATCCAGGTACTGACCGGTTACTTCAGTGAGTAACCGGTCTTGGGCTGCAGGGTGACATGGCTTTGGCTGCAATCCATCGGGCATTATAAATGTATCCATCATAATGTAATTCAAATACAATCAGTTAAATAAACTTAAGCATTTATTTAGTTGTTCAAGCGTAAAACGAGTTAATAGACTGTATAACCGCTAGCGCTGCAAGGATCAGTAGGCTTGCACAGAAACTTCATTAAAAATACTGGGGAAAAATAAATGTTCATATTTTAAAGAGATGGCGAGGAAAATGGAATTTACACAGTGCTTCTTGTCCAGTCTGAGACCAACTTTATATCATATATATTTATCAGGTAGTTTCGATCACTGACTATTACCTTATTACCTTCTTTCATGACCACCAGCGATCTAATCAACAGAGATCGCTGGAAAAAATTCACACAAACTACAATCCTGCCTCATAATGGACTACAAAACCCAGTCATGCAACATACACACACACACAACCGGTTCCAGATCCTGACTAATTAGACACTCACAGCTGATACTTATGACCATTGATTATTTGGACTATTTAAACACGTCTGTTCCACACACGTTGCGGAGTATTGTCTTAGCTGTTGCTGTCTGTACATAAGCGTTAACTGTAAAAACTGTGTTTTTGACGTTGGACTGTTTTGACCCTTTGTTGCCTGCCCTGAACCTTTCACCTGTTTTTGGATTACGCTTCTGGACTGTCTACTATACTTTTTATTAGGGTTGGGTACCGAAATGGCACCGCTACCTTTGGAACCGGTATGCATCGGATCAAATCAGCATATGAATTTCCGTGCCTAATTTCAGTGCTGCAACAAGAATGTAAAGCAGGTTGCACACCTGAAGCACCGCTCTGCGATGCGCAGCACCATGCATTTTAGAATTCGCAAGTCAACAGCTGTCCACGGCGCTCAGCCACGACTCATGACTGTTCATATTTCTGCCATGCCACAGAGCGCCATCTGAGCCCCAATAGGTTCATTTTAAATAACATGCAAATGTTCACGACTGGTGTATGATACCATCAACTGTCATGCGCGCGCCATGCCGAGGCTCTGAGCGTCACATCCGCTGTGTGACGCCCTTAAGAAGTATAAAGGGGTGCATTAAAGGCCCACATAAGTAAGTGTTGTGTTACACCATCTCTAAATGTTTAATTCTAAACAGCTTTGAGGGATACGGATGTCAGCAATGTCAGGCGTTTGTTATTGTAGCTTATAGAAGGCAAAGCGCGCAGTACGGCGCATGCGGCGAGCGACTCTCTTCATCAACACGCAAGATCACGTTCATCTAATTTGCTTAAACTAAACATTATATATGGCTATATTTTACAAGCAAGGATTCTTACACACCAACATGCAGCAGATGTTTTACACAAGTTGCGTGTAAGGGAAAAGCACGTCAAAGTTATGAAATTTGAGGGCTCATGGAATCAACTGAAAGGTGAGGAATGGACTGTCTTTAACAGCTTGTGACATCATCTGGCACATTATCTGAGGACGTTTACATGGACACCAATACTCTGATTTTAAGATGATTAAAACAGTACTCTGATCACGAGTCTACTGCTTAAAAAGTGATTTTTGATTATCTTAAAGGACCACAGACACAAACTGCAGAGGAAACATGTATAGGCTGGTGACGCAATGACGTTGATGGATCTATGTGCTATAACATGTAACTGGGAATCATGAATGTAACATTCAAAAAGCAACTCATGTACACACCTGAATCATATTATTGTCTTATTTAGATTAAGGCAAATCATTAGATCACCGATGTCCATGTAAAAGTAGTCACAAGCCCCAAACCCAGAAAAAAGGTGTTCCCTGATTTTGATGACAGCCTTTCCACAGGTTAGCAGTAAGCTAATGTAATGTTAATAGCATAATGCAGGTCTTGCATTCATGCTAACAAACAAAGATCAAAAGAAATATATTAATGCAATTCAAATAAATAAAATACAAATTAATGTTTACTTTAAACTTATCATAAATATATATTTATATTGTTCAATTATAATGATAAATTTATATATATATATATATATATATAAATATTTTTTTTTTTTGTCGATTAATTTGTTCAGGCACCGTTTTGGCACCGGTACCATTTTAAAAGTATCGATTTAGCACCGGTATCGATATAAACCCAAACGAGACCCAACCCCACTCCTTATGCTGGTATTTGACTCCTGCCTGATTGACTATTCTCATAAAAAGCTGCATTTGAAACTACCCCTGTCCATATGCATATGCAATACCTGACTATTATTAAGATAGTGGCTGTTGATTGGTACATATAAAGCACATATTCTGTATGATCTTATTCTACAACCTAAACCTCCCTACTACCTTAATAACTATTAATAAGCAGCAAATTGGGAGCTTATTAATACTGCAAAAGTCATAAAGTAGTTCATGTGTTGTTAATAGTGAAAATGGCCTATATGCACAGCAGGTGTTTTTCAGGCTCTGACAAACTTGCAGTAAAAAGGTTGAAGCATATAATATTGAAATATAATAATTTAAATAAACTGAAGCATTTGTTTAGTTGTTACACTTCGTTGAAAAATACTGAAGTAAAATACATTTCCATGGGGCAGAACAATGGAATTTAATCAGTGCTTTTTGTCCAGTTTGAGACCCACTCTAAATCATATTACAGTCAAAAAGGGAAGGTCATTGATTTTCAAAGAAACCAGATCTTAAACATGGTCATTTTATAATAGCACGACAGTTCCCCAGAAGTGCTTGAGCTGACTTATTGAAAATTAAAAGTCTCTGTGCAAATAATCTATTGTATCTTAAAAGCTATTGTTATTTTTAGAAGATAATTCTTAAATTTTCTTTTATTTTCTTTTATTAATATGTTCTCTTTTACCTGTTTTCCGGTTTTCTATTATTAAAAAGCATTTTGTGACTTACTATCTGTTAAAGGTGCTATATAAATAAACCTTGACTTGCTTACTTACTTACTTACTTACTTACAAACCTACATGAATAGTCAGATTCTGCTTCTTTGTGTTGTTTTATTAATGTGGTGCATTATTTTCTCTTTTAGGGTGGAAGCTGTGCATTCACGAGTGGCAGAGTTAAACCCATATGTCCAGGTCACCATGTCCACTGATGTCCTGGATGAAAGCACAGACCTCAGCTTCCTGAAGAGATACCAGGTTGGTCTCAAGACTGGCCTTCAAAAGTTAATTGTTTAGATCAGTGGTTCTCAAACTGTGGTACTTGTACCACAAGTGGTATGCAGGCTTTCTGTTAGTGGTACGCGGAGGAATAGCTAAATAATTTGTGTAACTAAAAGGAACACACTTTTGATTTTAATAGGCTAAACTTTTTATTTTATTTTCATTTTTCTAACGTTTGTTATGTATTCTATCATTTGAGGTCATTTTCTCCCTATACTTGTAACGGTTGTTGGGGGCGTATCTCGTAAATTTTTATCTCAATGTTGACAGGTATAGTTTAATCACTTGCTTCTCTGACACACATAGGCTACTCTAACGAGCTGTAAGCAGCTCTAATTTCTAATTTAAATATGTAAATCCAATTCATATATTTAAAATACAAGTTAACCTTTAGATTTCAAAAATAAACAAACAAGTCATATATACATGCAACATATATTTCAAAATTGATCAAATATATATATATAACCTATATTTATGAGGTCTAAGAAACATTTGCAGGTTTTGATGAATCGACTACTTTATGATAATACTTTACATTTAAGTACAGCAAAAGTTTTCTTATAACTTTGTAAGGACAGTGCCATTTTTAAATAATTTTTAAAATCACATTTTAATTTAAACGGTGACGTTTTATTTATCTTTATTTTTTACCTTATTATTACTATTACCTTATTATTAAAGTATTTATTATGTTTGAAGTGGCTGACTTATACCGAGAATTACACCGGGAGCAGAGCCGAAGAGAATAATGAGAGAGAACAACATCTTTATTCCGGGATAACCACTCTTAATAAATACACTTGCATATAAAGTAAATCGTACCTCAAATCATTTACTGGGGCCCTGGCGATTTTTACTGGGGCACGTGCCCTGAATTCTCCAAGATGGGACGGCCCATGTTGGACCCATCTGGGATGGCCCATGTGGGACCCTCCTGGGATTGCCACAGTGACTACAATGTACCCATCTTCTGATAACTACTTCCAGCAGGATAACGGGCCAATATGGGCCAAAATCTCTGAGGAGTATTTCCAGTAACTTGAATTTATGCCATGAAGGATTGAGACAGTACTGAAAGCGAATGGGGGTCCAACCTGGTACTAGTAAAATGTACCTAATAAAGGAATTGGTGTACCTAATAATATATATATATATATATATATATATATATATATATATATATATATATATATATATATATATATATATATATATACATGAGCTGGCCCACGTGGGGCCCATCTATGATGGCCCGCGTGGGACCCACATGGGCTGGCCAGTATTATTATTCATGATAATACTTTACATTTGAGTACAGCAGTTTTCTTTTAACGCTTTAAGAGCAATGGCATTTTTAATTAATTTTTAAAATCACATTTTAATTTAAACGTTGATGTTTTATTTATCTTTATTTTGTACCTGTAAGTGTGTTATTGTTCAAACTATTTATTATGTTTAAAGTGGCTGACAATAATACATTTTCGTAATAATAAGATTTTATCTGCCATGTTTGTGAACTGTGCTGAGCTGTAGCTGCTTATTTAGGCCCACCATGTATTTCAATACCTGTCATTATCGTGGTACTTAGAGAGACAATGTTTTCTGAGGTGGTACTTGGAGAAAAAAGTTTGAGAACCACTGGTTTAGATTGTTCTGTATGTTCATATGGTTTCAGATCTAAATGGGGCAATTCTTTTATTTATTTTAGTGTGTAGTGTTAACAGAAACAAAGCTGACCCTACAGAAACGAATCAACCATTTCTGCCACACTCAACAGCCTCCTATTAAGGTACGTTTATTTTCAGACACATTTGCACACATATAAAACTTTCTGTTTGGATGCTTTAAATGTGTTTTTGTTGCAGTTCATTGGCTGTGATGTGTTTGGGATCTGCTCGCGGGTGTTCTGTGATTTCGGGGAGACGTTTGAGGTGTCTGACCCTACAGGAGAAGAATCAAAAGAAATTTTTATCCAAAACATCAGTCAGGTAATGAGAGCACCACATTATTAGAGCTTTTGTTGCATTAAAGGCCCTCATATACTGATGGCAGAGATCTTTTTTTTGTTCTGTGCTTTGAGCTTCACGATACTGGGAAAATATGTGATATGTAATATTGTTTTTAAGTATTGCGAAATTTCCTGTGATATACAGTTGAAGACAGAATTATTAGCCCCCCTGAATTATACGCCCCTGTTTTCTTTTTCCAATTTCTGTTTAACAGAGAGATTGTTTTCAACACATTTCTAAACATAACAGTTTTAATAACTCATTTCTAATATCTGATTTTTTTTTTTTATCTTTGCCACTTACCTGTTAATATGTTTTGGTGCGATTATAACTTGTTATTAAAAAAAACACGACTGAATGTGTGAAAAAAGAAGTGAGGTGTGTTTTTGATGTTGCTTGACTTAATCAGCTGCATATTGTGCGCGAGTGTTGCTTTTGAATTTGGTATAATTGTAATATTTAATAATATTGTGATTTTCAAGATTTGTGAAGTCATACAGCACCAGATAACTTGAAACAGTGACCACAAGTCTCTCTTCTATCTTCAAAAGTCTTCATTGTCATCTTGACTACACAAACACTGCTGTCGCTTCAATGGAAACCCCACCTCTGCTTTCATTTGATTAGAGAATAAAAAAGGTGCGACTGACATAACATACTTTTTCCACTCAGAGTTTTTTCAACTGCAAGTGCACAGCGTGCAATGGCAAAAACGCGAGGTGCGGCAGGTGGTTAAAACGCAAGGCACGCAGGGTGCATAAGCAGCGCACAAAACTCTGCAGCCGTTAGTAAATCATTCAAAAAAGGCACCTCTCAACCCAAAATTGCGTTCAGTGTGATCAGCCCCTAAGACAATACTCTGATTAAGAGTCTACCAAGTAAACAGCAATTTTTGATTACCTTAATCTGATTAATATCATAATCGAACTAAACAAATCGAATTAAGACATGTAACAGCCGAGAGGAGAGGAAACGTCTTGCCAGCAGGTCAAAGGGGCCACAGTAAGAGAGAGAGAAATGGAGTTTACTTTCATTTTTTCCACAGCAGTGAAATAGGGGGGTTTTGCTGTAACTTCATTGTCAGTGAAACACCGTCCAGCAAACACTCCAGTCCAGTGAATTGTGCAGAGTTTCTCTGTCTAGTTACTCGCGCTCACCTCCCTTGTCATAGTACGCTACCTCGACATAGCACATATAAGATAAATGACGTCAGTACATTATAACTGGTTATGATTATTACTGAACCAATACTGAGTTTTCTGCGTCTGCATCACGGTGCACCAAAGAAACAATTAATTTTAACATCCCTAGAGATAACGTTATGTAACGTTGCATTTGTTTTGTATCTACCACTATGCTCACACATAGAAAACAGGGGATGGCAATATAAAAAAAAGGTCGCACTTTATATTAAGTGTCCTTAACTACTATGTACTTGCATCAAATAAATAAATACAATGTACTTACTGTGTTTATAATGTATTTGAGAACACTTGTGGTGCTTTTGAGTTGGGATAAAGGTTGGGTTATGGCATGGGTAGGTTTAAGGGTGGGTTAAGGTGTAAGGCATGGTCAACTGTGTTTTTACAAATGTAATTACAAATGTTAATTAAAGATGTAATTACATACATGTATTTAATCAAGCATAAGTACACATTAAATACATGTATTTACACAATGAGTACATTGTAACAAACTATCAACTCCTATGTAAGTACATATTAGTTAAGGCCACTTAACATAAAGTGGGACCAAAAAAATCTTAAGGGAGCTAATAATATTATATATAAACCTCATAAATATGGAACTAAAAAAAAGAAGAAGTAAAAACTGCTTTTAATTCAGCCTAACTGAAAGCAATAAGACCCTGCCTTATAAAAATCACTTGGGAAATATTAAAAGAAGAACACGAAATTGACAGGAAGGCTGATAAATTTGCTTTCAACTGCATATATTGAGGCCTTTATTCATTTCAAGTGAAACATCATTTTTGTAATTTCCTGCCTGATACACAATCACAGGGCAGTCCTGGTGTTGTGACATGTATGGACAGCCGAACACACGGCCTTCAGACGGGACAGAGTGTTTGTTTGAAAGAGATCAACGGCATGACTGAACTCAATGGTACCATGCACCAGATTACAGGTATAAACAAACCCAGACTTCATCATGTTCAGTAATGTATCAAACTGGCGTATCTAACTGTGTGTGTGCGCATTTAGTTCTGTCTCCCTATACCTTTGCGATTGGAGACACTTCATCATTCCAGCCATATACTCACGGAGGATTCTTCCGCTTGGTCAAGATCCCCAAAACCTTCAGCTTTGTATGTTAACACCACCTTCAGTTCATTTTATTAATAGTGGAGAAGCATAACAATTCACTTTTCCTCTGTCTATGGCTTGTGTAGGAGAAGATGGAGCAACAGTTATCTGATCCTCGGCTCCTTACTCCAGACTTCAGCAAACCAGAGGTCAGAAACAGTCTCAATCTAATTGCTGGAGTTAAATTTTTTTAAACAGACTTTAAGGTTTAGTTACTTATGTCTTAATAAATAAATGTGTTCTTATTTATTCAGGTCCCTCTTCAGCTCCATGCGATCATGCTAGCTTTGGATGCTTTCCTGGAACAGCATGCTAGACTGCCCAATATTGGGTAATTAACTTTTACTCTGAAGTCCTAATACCTGATCACTGTGCTTTCAATAGGTTTTTCTACTCTTGATTAGGGACCGGGGCAAGAGGTCCTGGTTTCTATAAGTGAAGAATTTTGAATTTTTTCATTGGCTGAAATAGTTAGCAGTGTGTTCAGATTTTGATGTTTAGAGCCCTATGAAAATATTTCGTAAGGATGCTGGATTCTGTTCCCTTGTTTATTTATGATTCTATTTTATTCAATTATTTATTTATTTATTAATTTATTAATTTTCTTTTCAGCTTAGTCTCTTTATTAATCTGGGGTCCCCACAGTGGAATGAACCGCCAACTTATCCAGTATTTGTTTTATGCAGGGGATGCCCTTCCAGATGTAACACATCACTGGGAAACACTCATACACACTCATTCACACACATACACTACGGACAATTTAACTTCTGCAATTCACCTATATGTTGTTGGGGGGTGGACCAGAACACCTGGAATAAACCCACGCTAACATGGGGAGAACATGCAAACTCCACACAGAAATGGCAACTGAACCAGCCGAGGCTCGAGAAAGCCACCTTCTTGCTGTGATGTAATCGTGCTAACCACTGCGCCACTGTGACGCCCATTATTTATTTTAACTATTAATCTTTAGTGCCCGTGTTATTTTTATTTGTAATGACTTAAATAAACCAAAACTTTATGAAATATTATATTTATAATAATATTTATAGAATTTTTACAATTAGGAAACACCATATTTTGGGGATTTCTGTAGTCTTTAATTTCTCCAACAAAGTAATGCACATTCATGTGAAAATTAAAACAAAAAAGTATGGCAATAATTCATAAAATAATGAATTAATAACTTTATTATTAACATATTATTATAACTTTAAGAATTGCATTTTACTGTACAGAAGTAACATATTTCTGCTACAATTTCAAAGTCAAACTTTTATTTTGAAGGGTTGTAGTAAAGACCTTGATATGATTTGAAAATTTTGTTTATCTTGACAGCACACAAAATTGAATTAAATTATTATTGTTATTAAATTTAATTATTATGTGTAAACACTAAGTTGCAGCTAGAAGGCCATCCGTTGCATAAAACATATCCTGGGTAAGTTGGCGGTTCATTCCGCTGTGGCAACCCATGAATAATAAAGGGGTTAAGCCGAAAAGAAAATGAATGTAAACACTAAACAATATGCAGCATTCTACATAATGCTCCTCATAACTGTATAATAAAAATCAGTTGTTGCATCTTTCATTTCTCTTTAGTTATGATTGACATGAATAATTAAAAGTGATGGATTATTTTTCTTGTTTGTCTGTAGTTGTTTGCAGGATTCAGAGCTGCTTCTGAAATATACAGAGGAGATCAGCAAAACACTTAAAAACAAGGTCAGTTTTTTGTTTACATGGTAACCTCTGTTGCTTGCAGCTTCATGTTTAAATGTTAATGAGTCTGTGTTGTCAGGTATGCATAAATCCGGATCTGGTGAGGTGTGTGTCGCGCTGTGCCAGAGGGTGTTTGTTTCCTCTAGCGGCGACAGTGGGGGGCATCGCTAGTCAGGAGGTCTTAAAGGCTCTCACTGGGAAGTTTTCCCCTCTTCAACAATGGGTAAGGAATACATAAGATTTAATACGGTAAATTAATATTACAATATAAAAATGTTTATTCTATTTTAAAATAAAAAAAGCATAAAGTAAGTCCAATTTGGTGCTCAGAAAACATTTCTTATTACCAGCGATGAAAACAGTTGTGTGGCTTTTTAACCCTGTTTCTTAAAAAAAAATTCAAATAAAAAGAGCCTTTATTACAGATTTAAAAAAAAAATCATAATAATAATTTACTTAATAAATTGTATTTTAATGTTTTTATTTAAAATTTAAATTGAATTAAATTGAATTCATCCTTGTTTAATGAGACTTTTAAATTTTTTTAAAGACGCTAGACCTTTGAATGATTGTGTTTTATGTTATTATTATGACAACACTATTCATTTCTATGTGTGTTTATGCAGTTTTATCTGGATGCATTAGAGGTTGTACAGCCCCTCCAGTCTCTTCCTGCTGAGGAATTTTCCCCAAGGTAAGTGTGATGCCAAATATTGAGCCCCACAAATATATATTGTTAGTTCATATGTTTCTACAGCATTTTGGGAATTGTTAAAGGGTGTCTGCGGGGTTTTAAAAAGTATTGAAAGTCGATAAATCAATGTAGAGAAATTAAAGGCCCTTGTAATGTATTAAAAAGTCTTAAATGCTGGTATTCAATTTTAGATAATTTTTGTTTATGCAATGTATGGTTGTATACTGAAGTTTGCCTGAATTAAATCTGCGAATATCAGGATGCTATGTAATTTATGAAATCAATAAAATCTTGCTAGGTTTGACATCATGCTGCTTTGTTTACTGCAGAAACTAAGCCAACAGCATTATTTCTGCAGATCCATAGGCGCCAAACCTGCTGAATTAGCTAGATTTAATAGATTTTTATTTAGTATATCAATAATGTTTTAGTTTTGGATTAGTTTCTTACATTAATATTTAGTAAATATACTGTAGTTTAAAATATCGCCAGTGTTTCCAGTTGAAAAGGGGTTACAAGGTCTTAAAATGTATGGAAAGAGTCTTTAAAAAGGTCTTAAAAGGCATTGAATTTCGCTCTCTGATTCGTGTATATACACTCTATGTTATATAAACAATATATAACCATTATAAACCCTTATTTTTTCCCTGTTTGTCACACTTTCAATTTAAATATTAGTCAAAGTCAACACAAGTAAACACATCGTGCTGGTTTAAAATGAAGGTTTTTATTGATAGGGGAAAACAAAATACAAATACACTACTATATAAATTCAATAGCTTTACATATATGATAAAACATTGTCCTCTCAAATAACACTGTTGTGCCTTGGAGCTAAAACAAAAAGTTTAAGAGGGCTGTAAATGTTGTTTTGTCATGTTTTGTAGGGGTGACCGGTACGATGCATTGCGGGCATGTATCGGCCAGTCGCTGTGTTTGAAACTGCACAAGTTTCAAGTCTTCATGGTGAGTCATAAGTGCAGCAGATACAGTAGAAAATTATATATTTTTAATCCTGTAATACATCAAACTTTGAACTAGATACATGTTTTTTAATCTTAGTATATACTTCACATAGATATGTAATTCTATTGTTATAATGTGAATATTGTAGGTGGGCTGTGGTGCTATTGGCTGTGAGATGCTGAAGAACTTGGCACTTCTGGGTGTGGGATTGAGTAGATTTTTGGGAGAGGTGAGGATATGTATCTGACAGGACTCTTTATTTTTGTCCTTCTCAGTTAAACGAAGAAGGAATAGTTGGTGCCTTTTTTAGAATGTGATTCTTTATTTTTAGATTTGCATCACAGATCCAGATTTGATTGAGAAATCCAACCTCAACCGACAGTTTCTCTTCAGACCACACCATATACAGGTATTTAATTCATGTCTGTGGCCCTTCTGTTACTTGATATTACAATGCAGTAAATTTGGAAGGGGATTTATAGTTTATGCCCTTTTTTATAAGATGTAAAATAAATCTTTGATGTCCGTAAAGTGTGAAGTTTCAGGCTACAATGGCATATGTAGCAGCATAGTAGCATATTTAAAAACAGGACTAATGTCCTATGATACTGACTGAGAGAGAGATTGTCCCCTATAGGCGGGGCTTTCCCCCTCTGAAATCATGTACAAAGGAACAATGTCAATCAAAGTGTTTCTGCAGATTAAGTGTGATTATAAAAAACGAAATTAATATATTTTCACCATTTAAAGCTGGTCATATTTACAGACTGTTGCCACAGAACTGTGTTTAAACCAGTGGTAGGCTGTTATCGGCGTTGACACGCTGACTCTTATCAGGCAATAAAAGAAATATCACAGTTTATCTATTCTCAAAGTTGGGTTGGGAGCTGGGTCTGTTCTACGCAAGCTATGATGACTTTCTCCTTGATATTTTAGCGCTGATGTATACCTGGCCGGTGAACCACCTGACAAAAAAAGAGCCCTTCTGGATCTTTCACTTACTTCGAAGACACTACTGACTATGTTTACATGGACATTTGTAGTCTAGTTATTTGCCTTAATAGACAATAATATAATTAAGGTGTTTACGTGAAGGGCTTTCATGTAAGAGTTTCCTGTAATTTTGGGTGACTTTAACTGCACTTCGGCAGTTACACTTTCACTCATGAACATTTCATTCATGCCCCCATAACAAACTGGGGTAGTAAACGCAAATAAGGAGTAAGGACTGCTGAGAGTGTTATGGAATTTATTAACGCACACCAAACAGACAGAAAAAACTTCTGCATTTCCCGATGTGTGTGTGTGCGGTCCTTTACAGCAACTGTGTGGATCTTGTCGGAAAATATGGCGAAAAGTTCTACATGATGGGAATAGTTTGTTGTAGGTAATAGTTGATTGCAGTGTTAACTTCAATAATGCTGCTAATATATGCATACGCCACATCTTAATTCCATTTCTGTTTAGTGCAGTTATGATTTAGTTAGATTAAGGTGATTATAAATCGCTGTTTTGAGCTTATGTAGGCCTACAGTTCAAAATTCATGTTTTACTGATTTAACAGTTAGTAAACACAAGTACATCTTATTGAACATCCCTTATTTTCATTAACATAGTAGAAGAGTTTCTCAAGCAGTTTGTGATGCATGTTGGAAACCGGAGATGAGCCCCTGGTCTAATGTGCCACCTGGCTTGAAAAACCTGTTCTCAAAGGCCTACTTTTAGTCATTTTTTGAGTAGCACACATATTCTGAATGCATTCGGCAGAATTCAAATGAGCCATTTTAATCTAGATTAATTCGAAGATTAGAGTGAGATTAATCTAGATTTAAAAAAAATAATCCATGCCCACCTATGGTTTTAACCCCTTTCAAAATGAAAAAAAATGGCCTTAAATAAAGACATAAACATTATTTTTAGAGGGAACTTAATAACTAGTTATGCGAAATACTCAACACATTTGCTGCAAACGTGTGAAATTTGCCTCGCAATCACGTCTTCTATGCAAGTTTAAAAAAAACTTGAGTGTAAAGATCAAGAAAAACATCCTGTGAGTAGTTTAGAGCAAGTGTGTGTTCTCTTCATGTTTGGTGTGAACTCAACATAAGTGGTAAGATAAAATATTTTGCGATAATGAAGTGTAAACTGGCACATTTCTCCATGAATTATCACTCATGAATGAATATCCACTTTTTTCCCTCTTAATCCTTTCTGTAGAAACCCAAAAGCACTACAGCAGCAGAAGCTTCATTAGAAATAAACCCAGAGCTGCAAATACACGCTCATCTTCATAAAGTGTGTCCTGCTACAGAGGACATTTATAGTGATGATTTCTTCTCCCGCCTCAATGTGGTGGTCACCGCACTGGACAACGTGGAGGCACGGAGATACGTGGACAGGTAATTCATTATTAACAGCAGATGTCTTTTCATTTGTTTTTCATTTTTAACGTGTGCTCGCTTATTCTTCAATGGTTGATTTGTGAACTTGCAGCCGGAGTGTATCCAATCAGAAAGCTCTGTTAGACTCAGGCACAATGGGTACGAAAGGGCACACTGAGATCATCGTTCCAAACCTCACCGAGTCCTACAACAGCCATGTGAGTTTATATGATTATGTGTGTATGTCTATATGCTATACACTGTGACTATATACAGTTGACATCAGAATTATTAGCCCACTTGAATTATTAACCCCCACTATATTTTTTTACCCAATTTTTGTTTAATGGAAAGAAGAATTTTTTTCAATATTTCTATACATGATAGTTTTAATAACTAATTTCTTCATTGATTTCTTTCATCTTTGCCATGACAACAGTATATAATTGTTAACTAGATATTTTCAAGATATTAGTATTCAGCTTAAAGGGCAATTTAAAGGCTTAATTAGGTTAATTAAGCAAATTAGGGTATAATATTAATAATTAGGGAAATAATTCTTGCTCTGTTAAACATTATTTGGGAAATAATGTACACATTTGCTTATTTGTTCTATATATTTTCATATATGCATGTGTTTGTATGTGTATATGCGTACTGTATATATGTCCCCCTCTATCAATGCTAAATTAATGATAATTGTTGAGTTGACCCTGTTTTTTTTTTATTTGAGTGTTGTTAAGATAATCAATTGAGTCATATGACTGGAGCAATAGACTCTCCTGATCACTGTTACCCTGATGAAGGCAGTTCTTTGCCGAAAGATTAGCCATGTGAATAAAGGCTTTTTGATATTTTCCACATCTTTTGAGTGCGTTGGACTGATTTTTGTTGTTTGTTCTGAAGAATCCCTTGCCCAAAGAGCTCCGACAAAATATTTAAGCTACCCCTGAGCGCTTTTTGTTTGTTTTTGGATTATTATTTGGGAAATATTTGAAAAAGAAAAAATTACAGGAGAGCTAATAATTTTGACTTCAACTATATATATATATATACTATTCCCACTCAACTGTGATTACTTTCTTTGTTAGAGAGACCCACCAGAAGAGGAGATTCCATTTTGCACTCTAAAGTCTTTTCCTGCTGTTACTGAACACACCATACAGTGGGCCAGAGACAAGGTCAGTTTCAAGCACTTTGTTAAGTGTCTCCAGAATTTTGAGAGTCCAATGGTTCTTGGGGTCAAAAAGAGAAATGTTGTACAGTATTTTTGTGTATTTTTTACAGGAAAATGCAACAATTAAAGCAAATAATATTATAGGTTTTGATAAAAGATGTCACAAAAACAGTGATTTGATAAAAAAACACATCCCTGCAAAAGCCTGGGACTGATTATCACACTAAAATATCAGGCCTATTTAGTTTGTGGAATTTTTATGTCGATCAAGGTCATTTTACTTGTGTTTTAACAACCTATGAGATTATGTATCTTTAATTTCTTTAAACAATTATTTTGCTTTGCATAGACTTAGTTAAGGATAAAAATATATTTAATTTATTTGTGCATATAATTTATTTCTTTTTACAAAAAAGGTACCCATTATTACTGCTGCTATTACAGTTTAGTACAGATATTTTAAATAACGGTGTGTTTTGTTTTTGTAATCAGATCGTTAAAAAAATCATTGAAGATTTGTATTTATCAGCCTGTATATATCATTTAATGGTATTAGCAAAAAAGTTGATGGTGCATCCATAATTTACTAGAAGGGTTAAGTTTTTTTTACAAATATTTTTAATAGGTCTCTATTTATTACCAGGTAGGTTAGTTTTTATGAATTTTAATTAAAAAAATATCTTTTAAAGTTTTCTTTTTATTATTGTACTATTTTAAACTTTACTGACTGCTATCAGACTTATGTCCAAGGCTTACATGATCAGGATATTCTAGGATGTGATACATAGTAACTTAGATTAAAGACATCAAGTAGTCATAATTAGCTCTAATTAAAGAATCCCTCATTAACCTTACTCAGTGACTCTTTTTCAATATGGATGGTGTGCTTCTTCATTTCTGTATGTGTTTGTTTAGGAATTATGGCTAATATAAAAGTATTATGGGAGTTTTCTTTTTTTTAATTTACATTTTTCTCTACAAAAGATGTGACTTTTATGATTACTTTTTTGTTTGTTGAGATTTAACACATAAAAGGTTGCCAAGTTGTAAAAAAAATGAACATACATTAAGTTTTTTAAGATCTCATAATTGTGCTTGAAGATGTTTGATTGTTGTTTTTTGTGGTTTTGTTTTTCTTGTGTACAGTTCGAGAGTGCTTTCGCCCACAAGCCCTCAATGTACAATATGTTCTGGCAGAGTCACTCATCAGCTCAGAGTGTTCTACAGGTGAGGATGTTTACTACATACACGCTTATCTAAACGCTGTGATATAGCCTTGTTGGAGTTGTCTAAATCCAGTGCTTGTGTGTGCAGAGGATGATGGGTGGAGAGAGCATGGAAGGATCATTTCAGGTCATTAAGTTGCTGAGTCGGAGACCTACTCAATGGGATCACTGTATAACTCTCGCTCGACTCAAATTCGACAAGTACTTCAAAAGAAAGGTGCTGGAACTGCAATGCAGAAAGTAGATTTTAATCAAATAAAGAAATAAACAGTAAAAAACACTATTAATTTAGGCATTTAAGGCAAGACATTGCTGGTGAATAGGTTAAAAGAATGGACTAATAGTTTTCTCCAGTTGACTGATTACAACAGGAATTGCAAACATTTATGCTAATAAGGGTCAGGTACCGAAACCTGGTGCCATTATAGCACCGGTATCTTTGTAACGGGTATGTACCGGATCAAATCCGCATATGAATTTTGATGCTAAATTTTTGTGCCACTGGTGCTGCGACAAGGACGTAAGTAGCATCAAAGGGGTGCATCAAAGGCATCTCTAAACATTTCATTCTAAACAACTTTAAGGGAATACAGACAGGCGATGTCAGGCGTTTGTTATTGTCGAAAGAGAACAGACACACGCAACGCGCATAGTACATCGCATTCAGCCCGGTTTTCGGTGAGCAAGAGCGACACTCTTCAGATCAACTCGCATGATCGCGTTCATTAAATTTGCTTAAACTAAGCATTCTAAAGCGTATTTTACAAGCAAGGATTCTGATACAGCAATGTGCTTTATAAAAGTTGCTTTTAAGGGGGAAACATGTCAAACTTAATGACACATTTGAGGGCTCAAAAAGGCAAAGGAATGCCTCTCTCGCGTGCTCTAGGTGTCATGTGCAATCGCTCCCGTGGGCACTCGCTCCCTCTGCTTTCGCGGCACTTGCTCTGTCTGTGACGGTGCTGCGCGCATCAGTTCCCCGCATTCGTCAGTAGTTGACGCCCAAATTGACACAGGTAATAAAAATATTAAACTTCAGTCATGTTCATGTTGTGAAACACTATCAAAATGTCCACCGTTGATGATATTAGACGTCTGTTTTCAATAGCGATTTTAGCACTTTTAATATAGAAAGTCCTAGGCTATGCAGAGACCATTATTAATCAGAAATCTTTTGTACATAGTTTTACATTAGAAAATGCAGTCTTGAATTTACAAACAGTCGACAAGTACCAAAGAACAGATGTAAGACATTGATCAAATGTAGTTATCAGTCACGCTCATGTAATTCATATTCAACTTGTTGAGTTTTCCCTTCATTCATTTTTGATTTCCTTCTTCAACTCATGATTTATTTACAACACATTTTAAATAGTTTAGCTAACTCGTTTCTAATATCTACTTTTTAATCTACCCCATAGTGACAGTTAGTGCATACTATTTTACTAGTTATTTTGCAAGACATTTATATTTAGACAAAGTCACTTTAACTATTTTATAGTCTTTTATTCAGTATAAAGTGTTATTTAGGCTTAATCAGTTAACTACGAAAGTTGAAATAATTAGTCAAATTATTTTGTAACTGATTTGTTGTGAGGCGAGGCAGTGGCGCAGTAGGTAGTGCTGTCGCCTCACAGCAAGAAGGTCGCTGGGTCGCTGGTTTGAATCTCGGCTCAGTTGGCGTTGCTGTGTGGAGTTTGCATGTTCTCCCTGCCTTCGCGTGGGTTTCCTCCGGGTGCTCCGGTTTCCCCCACAGTCCAAAGACATGCGGTACAGGTGAATTGGGTAGGCTAAATTGTCCGTAGTGTATGAGTGTGTGTGTAAATGTTTGTGTGGATGTTTCTCATAGATGGGTTGCGGCCTCCTTTCTTAAGGAGACTAATAATACTGACCTTATTGTATTTAAATTAAAAACTGCTTTTATTCACAAAATAAACAATGATAAATAGGACTTATTATGACTCCAGAGTAATCATTTTTTTAGGAAACACTTTGAAAATTTTCAGAAGCATTATTTTAAATGAATGGGAGGGCAAAATAACTTGACTTCAACTTTAGGCCTGTCTGTTAAAGTTTCCACCCCCCCCCCCACAATTTTAAAATGCAATTCTTAAATTCATGCTAACCAACAAATTAAATATATAAGTAAATATATTAATGTAATTCAAATATATAAAATATGAATTGATGTTTACTTTAAACTTTAATTATATTGTTCTATTAAAATAATTTTTTAAAAGATTTTGTCAAATAAAAGATTTTTCTAGAGTTATCCACCATCATTTTGTGGCTCAAAAGTATCGGTTCAGGCACCGTTTTGGCACCGGTATCGTTTTAAAAGTATCAATTTAGCACCTGTAACAGAAAACCCCAAATGATACCCAACCCTAATGCTAATACACGTTTTCTAAAATGTAATGTTTAAATATGCAAATGAGGCATTATTGTATTAAATATGCACTTAATTGCATACATTTCAATCTTTCAAATCTGAACGTAAATGAACTTCAAATCTAAATTTAATGAAGTCAGGTTCAAAATTTTGTTTTCTTTTTCTTTCCTTTTTTTTTACTTGTTAGATTTAATAGTTTTTCAGTTCATTTTCATCACAGAAAACTATGTGAACAACCCGAATAACAACAGTAAAAAATTAGATTAATATAATGTAGTTGTATATAACTATATAATATTGTTGTATATAATTATGCAATGTATATATGACAGTATTTCTTTAAAACACTTGAGGCTATAGATATGAATAAATTGTGAAGTTTGGTGTTTGTCTGCTGAAATGCAGATTTATGGCTTTGTTTATGGGAAAAAAATCTATTTGATAAAACAGCCTTTAAAATGCATCACAAGAAACACTTAAAAGTGTTTTGGATGTTTACTTGACATATTATGTTAAAAAATAAATAAATATGAAAAGCCATAATGCCCAAAAATGGACAGGTGATAAATAAAATATTTATCACCCGAAAATAAATATTTTGCCATCAGTGTCTTGCCTTAAATATATTTTTAAAGGTGCTGTATGTAAGTTTCTGACTCTTCTAAAGCATGAAAATGCCATAATATGTTTGCAGATATTTAACATGCCAAATGAACATTATGTTTATCTGAAAAACAATTCTGAAGTCAGATATTCTGCTTTGAAAATGTCGGAAAACTTGCCGGAACTGATGTGTTTGTTTTATATATATATATATATATATATATATATATATATATATATATATAAATTTTATTTATACTTAGTTTATTTTTACAATACAGAACAATAATTTAACAAGAAGAAAAAGAAAAAAACATGCAGACATATATCATTACATACATACACATGTCAATATGCACATATATACTTACCTATATATATACACACACATATATACTTGCATGTAGAAACAGTAAAAAAAAAAAAATTTATAAATAAATGAAAAAGATAAAAGCCGAACGCATAAGATTGATATGTCTCTTCCAATTACCTTTAACTTAAATGGGGATGTCTTTATATTCCCTATTTATCATCCTTTTTTCATAAACCTTCCTGAAAAAAATCTGCTTTCATCCTCAACATAAATGTCAGTTTTTCCATTACATAAATTTCTTCAATATTCTCAAACTACATTACATTTCAATGTTGAGTCTTTAAGCCAGTTGTTTGTTATAGTCTTTTTATTTTGGTTCTTTTAATCCACCCAATGCCAATTTAGCCAATTATATTTCATTCATTCAGTAAGGAAGGCTCTCGACCAATGACTGTAAAAAATATGGACGACGCGACAGCCCTTTTTCCCATTGAACGCCTTGAGGGCAAAACGCCTGCTTGACGGGCACAAACTGTCGCAAAAGACTGCTGAAATTGGAGCCAGACATGCGCAGAAGGATTGTCTGATGGAGCCAGAGGAGGAGCCGCGAAAATGAGCAGAGTCGAGCTTCCAATCAAACGCTTTATGTAAAATCAACTACGCCCCCCGAACTTCTCAGCATGCGTTTGCTGTCATATCAACACAAATGGATGTAATAACGTTAACAAATATGAGGGTTTTATATATTCAATCGCGCCAGCTGCAGGCCGCAGCGCATAACTTACTCGCGGCGTCGCGGGCTGATTCCGGCTCGCATGCGGCAGCGCCTGCTCGCTCGGCCGCCGCATCTGGCTCGATTGACTCGGGCTGGAATTGGGTAGTGAGTCCAGGCATCCGGAGTAGGTCCAGCAGAGGTAACATTAGTCAGTCTGAGCTCTAAGAGATAAGTCTCCGGCAGGCGAGAATCTAGCCGGAACTGTGTTTTGCTATCTGGGTGGCTAGGCGTGTATCAGCAAACTAATAAAGCCCGAAAAAAGCCCTGAACTTAGCGAATAAACAGTGTTCCACCAGGATCATGTATGTCAGAAACTATAGTTTACTGCTGAACTCATTTTGTCATGGTAAAATAACACAGAAATCGAATAATAACATTTCAGTCTACTTCAGTCTCCTGCCGAAGCTCAGACGCCGCGCTTTGAGAAACTGTCAATCACAGCTGTCAATCACGATGACACGCCCAGCTTTAAATTACTGCTAAAAACAAACTGTTTACAAAAATGAAGATCTGCACCTATTTCAGCACAATAACCAGTGCCTTAATCGACCAGAACTATCTTTCGGGACATTTTATTGCAAGTGTAATATTTTTTTTTATTTGGGCTCAAGTCTCCTTCATTAACACGGAGGAGGCGGGCTTTATGACTTGTACTGCAGCCAGCCCCCAGGGGGCGATCTAACGGCCGAAACCTTCAATCAAACGTAGGCTTGCGGCACACTTGCTCTCGACATGTGTGTCCACTACCAAAATGCGACCTCCGGTGGACAATAGCAGATTCTGAAATGAGACCCAGAGGTTCACATGACGTGGTTATTAATTAGCAAATAATATAAATATTACGAATGTAAACATTAGTTGAGCAGGTTACATTGTAGCTCATTGACCTAACAACACACTATGTGATGAGATTTGCAGTAACAAGTAATTGGGCCAATTTGCACCAGATGAAACACGACAGAAGTTTAAATACATTAAACAGAATAGTGCACTTACTACACTTCAACAAAATATTAAGGTTTACAATCTAATTAATACATATCTGGCAACCTGCGCTTGTGTTTGTTTTGAACCAGGTGTGCAATACCTAGTTCACCCACTGGGTGTCAAACTTACATACTGCACCTTTAAATAGTGATAAGCTTTGGAATGCTTCATCATATACAGTAGTAGGCTACTGAATTTCTTTTAACTTTTCACATTTTTGCTTTAATATTTCAGGCATTACAACTACTGCACTCATTTCCATTGGACACACGGCTAAAAGATGGCAGTAAGTAATCTTCACTCCTGCGGAAGAATTCAAAAAGTGAGAAAAATCGATGTCTTTGCCCAGCTGAAGTGTTTCCCTTCTATTTTAGGTCTGTTCTGGCAGTCTCCAAAACGACCACCTTCTCCCATAGACTTTGACCTCAGTGACCCGCTGTGAGTCTCTCAGTAATTATTTATAGTTCGTTGTTCATAGCTAAAGTGAGCATTCATTTTTACTGCAGTAAAACAAAGAATCAGGTGATGTGTGAAAGCTTATGAAAAAATCTCTGTTTTGTCCTTCAGGCATTTTGGTTTTGTTGTCAGCGCAGCTCGCCTTTTTGCTGGAATTTATAATATTCCATACTCAGAAGAGGTAAACAATGATTTACACAAACTGCTGTCTACTTGTGTGGTGCCTGAAAAAGTGCATGGTGTGCAATATTTATTGTCTACAGCAATATTATAATTGTTGCCTAAACAATGTGTGAGCTGAGATTTTTGTGTATGTTGTTTAATTTGCAGAAAACAAACTAAAAACACTCAAAAGTGTTCACTGCATGATACAGAATGTTAAAATGAGCCTGTACTGAACTCATAAATATCCCTTGGGTTTGGGTTTATGTTTTTTATATTTATAAAAGATGATATAGTAAAGTGTGGAGTTAGCATGTTCCCGTTGTGGGTTTCCTCCGAGTGCTCCGGTTTCCCCCATAAGTCCAAAGACATGTGCTATTGGTAATTTGGGAAGTCTAAATTGTCCATAGTGTATGTGTGTGAATGAGAGTGTATGGGTGTTTCCCAGTGATTGGTTGCAGCTGGAAGGGCATCCTCTGCATAAAACATATGCTGGATAAGTTGGCAGTTCATATCACTGTGGAACCCCTGATTAATAAAGGGACTAAGCTGAAAAGAAAATGAATGAATGAATGATGTAGTAGTAATATGACCCATGCAAGAGTGCCGCTATCTTGAAAATCAGTTTTTTAAATTTGATCTCAAATGTGATAATGATTTTAGAAAACAATTTTACAAAAAATTATTTTACATTTAGCTTAAAAGGTTGAAATGAATCTTGCTGTTCACTAACATTATGAGCAAATGATTCAGTGATACATTCATAGAGATGCTTATTTTCTGAATGAATCAGCCATTTTGAATGAATCATTTGAATTTATTCATTAAGACAGAATAAGAATTAAGCTCATTAATGCAGGGACTTGCTACTATATTGATATTTCTTGATCTGTTAGGCTTAAACCAGCCAAGAAACAATAGTATTTAAAAAAACTAATATTGTTTAACTTAATAATTTAAACTCAACAAATAATCCAGATAATTTTCAATATTGCACACTCCTACTTTTTGAAGTAATTGTTTGTAAAGTTTTGTTGCTATTTGTCTTATAATGTTCTATTGAATCATTTATAGCAACTTTCCTACGAGGATGTCTCCAGAGTTTTAGCTGAAGTGGATGTTCCTGAATACAAACCAGCTGAAAAGGTATCTGTTCATTCACTTTGTGCATGTCTGATTGTACTCATTCTTAAACACAACAACTTTATAAAAGCAATCAAAATAAAACAACATTATTTAACTTTGCATTTAGGTCAAAGTGATGTGACTTAAACAGAGTTTGGCACATAAACCTGCTTATAGAATTAAAATCGTAATGCTCTAAATGTTTTACTGGGATTCCTGCCTCTAATAAAGAGTAACAGTTGGATTCTGGATCAAAGAAAAACTTGATTTTTATTTTAGGGAAATTAATTTTTAACAATAATAAACTCTTTGAAGACAGACCTGTTGTGCATTGCTAACTTAATTTGTTGAACTTTAAACGTGATTTTATCTGTTTTAAAATTTTTTTGTTTACCTTTAATTCCTTTAATCTTTAATTTCATCAGCTCTTAGACAATGCAAAAATTAAAAAGTCCACCAAGATGAGGCGTGGAGGTAGTGTTTTTTTTTTTTTTTATAAAGCAATGTGTAAGCTTTTGGACCTGCATAGGTGCATTACATTTAGATCAGCTTTTAGTTGGTCAATGGCGTGGTCTTTTTTAGTTCCTTAAAATAGCAATGCGCCAACAATGTGTTTTAACAAACCTCCTTTATAGGCCGGAACACCCATGAGTCAGCAAAGTGATGCAAATGGATTTTGCTATTTAAGCAACGTGGTGCAAAACGTGAACATTACTATTGCGCTGGTCTGAAATTAGCAACAAATCGCACCATACACAACGTGCACCTTATTGCGCCGGGAGTATGATAGGGCTGGATGAGTTTCTTTCTTCTGCTGAACACAAACAAAGTCATTTTTGAAAATCTTGGAAACCAGTAATCATTGACTTCCATAGCATTTGTTTTACTTACTATGGAAGTCAGTGGTTAACAATTTCCAAAATTCTTCAAAATATCTTTTAGGTTTAACTGAAAAAATAAAATCATAAATAATAAAATAATAAATATATAATAATAATATAATAATAAATAATAAATAACTTCATAAAGATCTGGTGAATAAAACTGTAAATTTTTACATTTTTGGTAAACTATCCAAGAGCCAAATATTTGTGATTTTCTGTGGCTTTACCGAATTTCATCACTTTTGTGTGTTTTTTATTTCAGCATATAGAGACTGACGAGACTGTTAAAAAGCCAGATCAGTTGAAAATAACAGTGAGCAGTGAGGAGGAAAGAGAAGCCATTTCACAGCTACAAGAGGCCATCAACTCCAACTTAGTAACACCTGGTGTGTTTATAGCACACAACATATAACAAACAGTTCATAACAAATCAAGATGCTCAGCTTCCACACATTTGTACTCACATTTTACTCTTACTTTAGAGAGACTATGTATGAGTCCGCTGTTCTTCGAAAAGGACGATGACACAAATGGACACATGGATTTTGTAGCATCAGCGTCAGCCCTGCGAGCTCGTATGTACGCCATTGAGGCCGCTGACCGACTACAAACCAAACGAATAGCTGGCAAAATCATCCCTGCGATTGCTACATCTACAGCTGCTGTCGCTGGACTGGTGAGAGTAAAAACTAAATGATTTCAGTGAATATTTGAGTGCATTGCTGTGTGGATATATGATTGCTTTATTATTCATTCCCTTTAGGTGTCGATGGAGTTGATTAAAATTGCTGGCGGTTATGGATTTGAGTTGTTTAAAAACTGCTTCTTCAACCTGGCCATTCCAGTTGTGGTTCTTACAGAAACAGCTCAGGTCAAGAGAACCCAAATCAGGTAACAGATCAGTGCTTGTGCATAGATACTTTTCAGGGATGAATAGATGCACTATTCCTGGCTTCATGTAATTGGATCTTTTTGTTTTGACCAGAGATGATATTTCATTTTCTATCTGGGATCGTTGGACCATCTTCGGTCGTGAGGACTTCACCTTATCTGATTTTATTAGTGCCGTAAGGGTGAGTAACATTAAGGGCTCTATTTTGACGATCCATGCACAAAGCGCAGGGCGCAAACGCTTTCAGGGCGTGTCAGAATCTATTTGCTAATATAAGGACGGAAAAATCCACTTTGTCTAAAAGGGCTGAGTTTATTTTCTTAATGAGTTATAGGTGTGTTTTGAGAATAAACCAATCAGACTCTCATCTCCCATTCCCTTTAAGAGCCAGTTGCGTTGCGCCATAAGCACATTTGCCATTTACATGGCGTAAAGTAACTGTAGGTGGAAAAACTGAGCATTTCACTAGCAAGAAAACAGTTAAACAGAACATCTGCAGCGAGAGAATGAGAGATGAATTATTAACTTTCACTTTCGCTCTCGTGGATAGGGAAACCTTTACGCACAGACATCAATTAGCCTATAAATAACTAATTTCGTTTGTTAAGCGCAAATATTTGTTTTAAAACAAAGTGTGGTCAAAAACCTGAGTTATATCCTAATACACATGCTATGCCCCATTTGGTCTAAAACCTGACAGGTGGGCAAATCTAAGATTGTTTTTAATTAAACAAATATAAATATTGATATAATAAATAATACTGCTAATAATAATAACATTATACAAAAGCAAGTTGTGATAAATAAACTGAAAAAGCCTCCCGAGATAAAGAAGGCTTGAAGGCAGTAGTTTTTCATGTTTATGTAGGCTAGAAAATAATATGTTTTGTAATATTTAATCCTTTATATTTATATCCTACAGTATATAAATCCTTATTATATCCTATATATATATCCTTAATATTTTAATTCTTTTTCATATGTAAAGATATTTGAGTATTGCCCTAAATCTTGTGTGCATTAAGCAGTGTAAGCGAGGCGCACAACTAACTCACTCTGCGCTCGACTTAAGACCGGCTTTGTTTTGGTCTATTGAAAAATCTATTATAGTTTCTCAAAATATCAACGCCCCAGCAATGCGCCTCAGAACGCCCTCCTTTTTAGACCAGAATGGCTATGGCCGCACATATGAGCGCAAATGCATTTGCTATTCAAACAGCGTGGCGCAAAACATCAAAACAACTCTTGCGCCAAGCTGAAACTAGCAAACAACAATTGCGTCGCGCCTTGCGCCACATTGCACCGGGGGTATGATAGGGTCCATAGTCTGCTGATCAATATTGTGAAGGCCACTTCAGCTTTCACAGACAGATGGACAAAAATATTTAGATAAAATTACATAATAGCAGTCATGTTTATTAATGATATTAACCAGTTATGTCACACACAGTCTACTATCTTGATGTGGGACTAATTTAGCAACGCTTTAAATATATGAACGTTACTTGTAACATAGAAATAAATAAACATTTTGCATATCATTAATAGTTTGGTGGTATTGTTATACAAATCAGAACCTCTGAAACTACAAAATTTGAGCAAACTTCGTTGAAAATGTAAAAAATTGTGAAAGAAATTGAAAACTTTGTTTAGCAAAAAAATGTATGTTTAAATTTATATATATATATATATATATATATATATATATATATATATATATATATATATATATATATATGGCTGTTTCCTAGTGTTGGATTGTGGCTGGAAGGGCATTCGCTGCATAAAACATATGTTAAATAAGTTGGTGGTTCATTCCACTTTGGCGACCCCTGATTAATAAAGGGACTATAAGCCGAAAAGAAAATGAATGAATGAGTATTATTATTAATGGTAATAGTAATAAAAGCAATAGTGACTAGAGTAATAATTTCATTTAAAACTACATACAGTAAGTAGAAAATAAGTATTTTACTTTTTTTTACATTTAATAAATGCCGCCTTGATAAGCAGAATGATTTTATTTAAATTATTACATAAAAAAAAAAAATATATATATATATATATATATATATATAAAACTGACCCAAAACTTTTGACCGGTAGTATATATATTAAGGAAATATTATGAAACACAAAAGTTATCAGCATTGAAAATAGTAATAATAAATGTTTGACCACTTAATTAGCATTTTATAATACATTTTGAAGTATCATATGACTGAAGACTTGCTGAAAATTCATCTTGAATATCCCTGTAATAAACCTTAATATATGTTCAAATAGAAATGTTTTTACAATCATATTTGTTTTGGTAATATTTCCCAGTATCACTATTTTTGACTATTTTTCATTTAATAAATTGTAATAAAAGTGCAAGATGCTACTTTGAGAAAGCAATACAAATTATTTATTAGCTCCACAATTTGCTAAATTTTGGTAGTTCACAGTTTTCTCTCTTTTTGTTTGTTTAAACAATGGCATCCTAAAATTATTATTTTCTTTAAATCTTTAATACATTAATAACACTCGGGTCTATATTATGTTGCCATTTGCCAGGAATTCAATACTTTTTTGCACACTACACAGCAATAAAGCTTTTGTTTCATTTCAGGAGAAATACGGGATTGAGCCCACCATGGTTGTTCATGGAGTGAAGATGCTGTATGTGCCAGTTATGCCAGGCCACAACAAAAGACTAAAACTAACGTAAGGCTCAACAGAAAAATAAAAAATACGAACTGAAAAAAAGATTGCATACTTCCAGCTTCTGTTTCAAAATGTAACATAATGCATTTCTCCAACCATCTCCCTGTTTCTCCTCTCCTTACAGAATGCATAAACTGATCAAACCTTCATCAGGAAGGAAATATGTCGACCTGACCGTATCGTTTGCCCCTGAGGTGGATGGTGATGAAGATCTTCCCGGTCCTCCAGTGCGATATTACTTCAGTGGAGAAAATGAAAGCAGCGAGACAGCCTGACACACACACACATACAAAACTCAACAAACACTCTTCTCTCTTGCCCTGTGGACCACAAGTGAAGTAGCACTTGATCAGACTCAGTGTACATAGTGAATTTTTGTTTTCTACTGGTTTAATATTTTATTGCACAGCATTGCCTGTGCAGATGCCTTAAGATAATTCTATTGTACTTCAATGTGGCAACAATGACTAATATTAACGCTCTTAAGAGTAAAACTAAAAGAAAGTGTTTACACGACTTTCCCCAGGGCTTAAAAGAACACTCCACTTTTTTTGGAAAGCTAAAGGGGGAAGCCCTTTTAGCTTAGCTTAGCATAAATCATTGAATCAAATTATTATCATCTCATTTAAAAATGATCAAAGACTGTTTATAGTTTTGCTATTTAAAGCTTGACACTTTTGTTACATCGGGTACAAAGATTGACGAAAAATTAAGAGTTGCTATTTTCTAGGTCGATATGGGTAGGAACTATACTCTTATTCCTCCGTAACAATCAAGAAACTTTGTTGCCATACCATGGCTCCAGCAGGCACAATCATAGTACACAGAATCTAAAAATAGTTACCAGGTTACTCTGTAACAGCGCTGCATAATATTGTTGTGCCTGCTTCAGCCAGTAAAGATTCTTGAATGTTACTCATGAATGAGAGAATAGTTCCAGGCCTAGAACATAGCAACTCATCATTTTTTTGTCAGTCTTATTACACAGTGTAACTAGATCTGGGGTGTCCAAACTGTGGTTGTCATGCTGAGTCTAGCTTCAAGACACTTCAAGTTTTTAGTATATATAATAACAGCTTGATTAGCTGGTTCATGTGTGTTTAATTAGGGTTTGAGCTAAACTCTTCAGGACACCGACCCTCCAGGACCGAGTTTGGACATCCCTGAACTTAGAGAGTCGAACTTTATATATATAAAAAAAAAGCAAACCTCTTTTTGAGCAAGGTGCTAATCTAACCTGATTCAGTGATTTATGCTAAGCTAAGCTAAAAGTGCTTCTGCCAAACGCAGATATTGGCAGAATGGATTAAAAAATTGTCTAAAATGTCCACATGAAAAAACATGGAGTGTTCATTAATATTGTTCGATTGTCTAAAAGTCAATAGACGGCTTGTAAGAGATAAAGAGTCATCATGAATAAGCGGTTATTTATTTGCACATATTTTGGGAGGATTTTAAGGTTTGAGAGGTTTGTCAGTCACTGTAAGCAACATAAAAACCAAAGATTTTGCTTCTGGTTTCAAATATTCATCAGTGGCTTTCAGCAGCTCTTCACGACTGGTTTCCCATGAATGAGGCTGTCAGGTCTTTTGTGATCTTAGCTGTCAGTGAGGACAGATGAGGTAAAGAATTTCACCTCTCTCGTTACGCCTACCATGATGGTCATAATTCATTATTGCCACTAGAGGGTGCTATAAGTAACAGCTTCGCTTTCTCATCTGCTACTATCAACTTCAGGTTAAAGTATATGAAGGTCAAGGAGGAGAATCTGAATGATGAGATTTTATATAACTGGCAAAGATATAGACATCATCTCATATGTCAGTGTATATTCATATCACAATTCCAATCTGCATGTGGACACAAATAACAGGTCTTTCACAAGTTTCACGTTGCATTTGTAGTCTTGTTAAACGTCATTGAATCGTCCTAAAGTGTCCTTTAGGCAGGTGGCTGTTGCTTAGCACACTGGTTATTGGCAGTAGTAATTAGAAATCACACACACACACACACACACACACACATAAACAGCTAACCGGATGATATGGTTTGAGCTTACAGTGGAGATGTTTGAATGCATAATGAAGAGGAAAAATAGAGAAAAGTTTCTGATTTGATCCCTTTAAAATGACCTTCAGTTGCACAGACTTTCCTCTAATGATGTCCTACTGCTAATATGATATCTAAAGAAGATAAATCAGTGATTGGAACATATGATGTCATTGTGACTAAAGTAAACTACAAGAGTCCAATAAATTAAAATTTCAAATCAAATCTCAATGTTTTCATTCTTTTTCATTTATTTCTTTATTTATTGTTTTTATCTTTTTTCACCCATTCTTCCAATAAACTCTTTAACTAAAGAATATTAGTCTTCTGAATTGTTTTAGGGTAATTTAATTGACTACAATCTAACAGGTTTAGTCAAATTGTAAACAGTTATCCAAAATA